CAGAATGAATGAGGGCAGTGTCCTGGGTAAGCGTGACCCTTTTCAAGGACCCCATCACTGTTTAGACACGTCACCAAGCGTGCAGGCCCACCGCACCATTCTCTGTACGGTGCGTGAGGCACTAAGAGGATCAGCGCTTAGGCTAGCCTGGGCTACATAGCGGGAGCCTGTCTCAAATCTGTAGGGATAGTAGTTAATAATAAGACGATGACAACTGCGTCACCTTGCTTGTTACAGAGGGGTGGAGCTAGGAGCAGTGGTCATTGGAGTTCAGAGGTGTGCTACTAGACAGCAGGGCAATATACAGAGCAGTCCTACTGTTAGCCACAGCCACCCCATACTGAAAAGCTTCTCTCTCTGTCTTGTTTTTGTTCTGATTTTATTTTGAGATAGGGTTTATCTGTGTAACAGCTCTGGCTGTCCTGGAGCTCAGTTTGTAGATCAGGCTTGTCTCAAACTCACAGAGATTCACCTGCCTCTGCCTCCTAGACGCTGAGATTAAAGGCATGCACCCCCCCACCCCTCTAAAGCTTCTCCATTTTAGTTGAACACTGACAAGTCCTGAAACTAAAGTACTCTGGCTCCAGAGCTAAAGCAAATTATTTTTCTAGCGTCTCGCCCTCCCCACTGATCTCTACAGCTACCCCAGCCTGTGAGCTCAAAGGGTCCCAAATCTTACAGCAGAGAACCCCTGTAGGTCCATCCTGAGTACAGCCTATGGTGTTACTGTCCCTCTGTCTTTCCTTCAGAGCGATCTCACAGCATGCTGCCCATCCCTCCAAAGCTACGAGGAAGAGCTCTGAAGGTCTTGCTAGTAAGAATGGTGCAGGAAATAAATGTTTAACCTTCGTTTGCCTGGTGTGTGTGCTTCAAAGGGTCACATGATTATTCAGGAATAAGTGCCATTTTTATGCATCAGTTAAAAAAATAAATATAAACATGAAATTTAAACATCATGAGTTAGGGTCTGCAACTCAAAATTTGTCCTTAAAAATGAATTATTAAGAGCAATTTTAAAATGGCAGAAGTAATATGCAAGTTAAAACCTTCAAACTAGACTAACAAAGAAGCCTATTGGTTGCCATGGACAACTGAAAAGGCCAGTCAGAAGCTGAGGATGTGCCATCTGACTTAACTCAGGAGCCCCTTATTTGGAAGGATGGAGGACTGGGTGGGGGCTGTCACAGGGGTGAGCACAGGGAGCGCTCAGGTGTTGATTGTGGCTCCTACGCTGCTGCCTTGCTGCTGCCTTATTTTGCTGAGACAGGGTCTTGCTGTGAAAAGCAGTGGCTGTCCGTCCTTACAGTCCTACTGCCCTGCCTCAGTGCTGGGGCTCCGGGCCACACCTCCACGCTGGGCAACAGAGAAGTGCAGCAGGGAGGGGCTCCATGAGGAACTGCTCCAACAAGTGTTCCCTTCAGAGCAGGGCAGTGGTGGAGCAGAACCTGTTACCAAGACTGTTTCTAGGAACACAGCATCGCCCTCCGCCGGCGTCAGGAGGCAGCAAGGAGGCTTAACTGTGTCCTATCCATCTATCGCCCCCCGCTTTAGCGCTGTTTCATTTCACTCCTTTTATTTAAAAGACTGAGAGCACTGTGCTTATTTTCCATTCACTTACAGGTTTTTTTTTTCTTTCTCCTGTGGCCCAGGCTGACCTTGAACTCAGTGACCTTGAACTGCCCCCACCCCCAGCCCTGCCCTCAGAGCTGGGTCGCCTGGCCACCACACTGTTTCTGTAAGGCTATGAACAGAGACCACTTCCCAAGAATTTTAGCTGCCTGGTCTGTCTGGGCCCTAGGAAACTTGCTTGCCCATACCCATGCTTGCCCATGCTTGCCCAAATTTGCAGCAAATACCCGTCTTCCTTCAAACTAGTCAGTGTTTACCAAGGCTTTCCAGCTCAGAAAAAACACTGGTCGCTCCCCCCTCCGTCCCGTCCCCCCATCCCCCCCCCCCCCCCCCCCCCCGCACACCAAATGCTGTGTGAGAACTGCTGTGAACGCCTGAGTTAAGTCTCAGCCATCTGAGAAGCAGCTGCCTCATCCACACAGCAAAGACCTCCCTCTCCAGGTTTATAACCTGTAATTCTGGGAACATCTGCTTTCATGGACACAGGGATCAATAGCTTTCTAAGGAAGTTACTAGAACCCCTACGCGCCACTGGGTGTGTGCACAACTCCAGAGATATTTGTAAAGTGGCAGCAAATAGGGCAGGTAACAGCCAGTGCCAGGCTCGAAGAGGGCTCTCCTGCCGACACCGTGGGCTCGATGGTCCCTTCGCTACTGTGAATCTGAAGTTAGAATGTCTGAGTGGCAGTAACTAACTGCTCCTTGATGGTAATTCTAAGTCACAACACCCAGCACATCCTTTAACCAGTGATATTTTAAAGACTGTTTATACTTATGTGTGTATGTGTGTGTGGGAGGGGGGGAGTGGGTCTGCACAGCAGTGACCACAGGGGCCAGAAGAGGTTGAATTGGTTGAATCCCCGGAAGCTAAGTTATGTGAGCCACCCAGCACAAGTGCTGGGAATGAAGTCCTCCAGTCCTGTGTAAGAGTAGCATATGGAGTCATCTCTCCAGTCCCTAGAAGTTTGAAGGGATTTTACACGGACTGGCCTCTTAGCCCCTTTTTTGTCTGAAACAGGGGGTCTCAAGCCATGGAAAAAAAGGAACCAGAATGAGGGAAGCACTGAAGGTCACAGGAAGAAACAACTTTTCTTTCTTCTTTTATAAACACTGTTTTTTTTTTCAATGTTGAGGACTAAACCCTGGGGCTCTTACATGCTAAGCACAGCTTCTACAGCTGACTGATAAACAGATGCCTTCCTTCTTTGCTTCAGTTTCCTGTGAAAGCCTGAATTATTTATCCTGGGCTGACCTAGAACTCCATAAGTAGCCAAGGATGGCCTTGAACTTTGATCCTCCTGCTAGGATTACAGATGACCACCTCCACGGACTAGTTCATGCAGTGTTAGGCACTGAACCTAGGGCTTCATGTATGCTGGGCAAACACTCCACCAACTGAGTTACATCCCTTGCCCCTGAAGCCTGAAATTCTTAAAGCCAATATTAAAAAATACAACGCTGATTAAAATTTTACATAAATGCATGCTTTTAAGAGCAAATCTGAGCAGGGGGGATGGTACACACCTTTAATCCTAGCACTTTGGAGGCAGAGGCAGGCAGATCTGAGTTCCAGGAGAGCCGGCACTACACAGAGAAACCCTGTCTTGAAACACCCCCAAGAAAAAGAGCAAATCTAATTTTGCACATTACATATAATCTGATTTTGTCACTTAATGTTCCCAACATTTTCACATCTTTAAATGCTGTACTAATTCATATTTATGGTTGTATAGGATTTCATTAAATATGTTGAATGGATCTCCCAGTTAAGATAATTTCTGTTCACTGGGCGGTGGTAGCACATGCCTTTAATCCCAGCACTTGGGAGGCAGACACAGGCGGATCTCCATGAGTTTGAGGCCAGCCTAGTCTACCAAACAATTCTAGAACAGGCTCCAAAGCTACAAAAAAACCCTGTCTCCAAAAAAAAAAAAAAAAGATTATTTTTATCAAATAAATATTCATTGGCCAGGTATGGGATTGACATATGCCTATAATTCCAGCACTTGGGAGGCAGAGATAGGGAGACTACTCTGAATTTGAGATCAGCCTGAGCTACAGTGAAAGACCCTGAAAGAGAAAGGATGGAGGAGGGAGGAAGATGGCTCCTGTAAGATGGTTCAGTGGGTAAAGGCACTTGCTGCCACCCTAACCCTGCGACTCACATGGAGGAAGAAAAGCCACCCTGGAAAATTGCCCTCTGACCTCCAAATGCACATGCGCACATACACACTAAATGCAACATTTTTAAAAAGTAAGGGGGTGCCTAAAGATGTGGTTCAGTTGGCAGACATATGCCTAATGTGCATGAGGTCCCAGGTTTGATCCTCAACACGAAGTGGGCATGGTAGTATTCACTGTGATCAAGAGGATCAGAAGTATTACCCTAGGACACACAGAGTTTGAGAGCATGAGATCTTGCATCGAAAGACACACACATTGAAGAGACATAGAGTCTAGACCCTAAGGCCTACAATTCAATCTGCAACTTTCTTCCCAACCTTATCTCCTGCTTCCTCAGACAAGCCTCTGACTTAGCGTAGACCTGCAGACCCCTTGACTAAAGGATTAGGTATGATTCTATATAAGCCTCCTGTACTTTTTAAGATTTATTTATTTAAGCCGGGCGGTGGTGGAGCACGCCTTTAATCCTAGCACTCAGGAGGCAGAGGCAGGCAGATCTCTGTGAGTTCAAGGCCAGCCTGGTCTACAAGAGCTACTTCCAGGACAGGCTCCAAAAAAACTACAGAGAAACCCTGTCTGGAGGGGGCAGGGATGCAGTATTCTGCTTGCATATATACCTGTAGGCCTGAAGAGGGCACCGGATCTCATTATAGATAGCTATGAGTCACCATGTGGTTGGAAATTAAACTCAGGATCTCTGGAAGAGAAGCCAGTGCTCTTAACCTCTGAGCATCTCTCCAGCCCAGCTTATTGTAGCTTTGTGCTGTGATGTTGTTGCTGCCCTTAATCACAAAAAAGGCGCTGTCTCAGTTACTATTGCTGCGATAAGACAGCATGACCAAGGCAACTTATAGAAAAAGAACACTTAATTTGGGTCTCACAGTTGCAAAGCCTGAAAGTCTATGACCATCGTGACAAGGAGCACAGCATCAGGCAGGCAAGCATGGTGCTAGAGTAGCAGCTGAGAACTTACATCTTAGTCTACAAACAAAAGGCAGAGAGAGCTAAATGGGAATGGTGTGACCCCCTAACTACACACCTCCTTCAACAAGGCCACACCTCCCAATCCTTCCCAAACATTTCCACCAACTGGGAACTAAGTACTCAAGTATATGCGCCTATAGGGGTTATTCTCATACAAACCCCAACAGGCACTTTTTTTCTGCTAAGTTTTTTTCAGAATCACCACTGAAGCTAGGGAGATGGCTCAGGTGGTAAAGTGCTTATCCACATTTGATTCCCAGAATCCAAATCAGTATAAAAGCTAACAGTGGTGGTGGCATGTGTTAGGGAGTCTGAGACATACACTCTTAGCAGGCTCTACTGACCAATCAGCATAGCCTACTGGGTGAGCTCCTAGCCATCTGAGAGACCCTGTAAGGAGGAAAAGGAGAGAGAGAAAAAAAATGTCAGGCCTAACATGATGGTACATGCCCTTAATTCCAGCACCTGAGAGGCAGAGGCAGGCAGATCTATGAGCTCCAATCCAGCTGGGGCTATATAGTGAGATCCTTTCTCAAAAAAAAAAGGTCATACCACCTGAGGAACAGCATCTAAGATTATCCTCTGACATACACATACACACCCCTCTGAGAACCAAGTAGCCCTGGGCCACAGAGTCCCTTAGAATCTGTGCCCTTCTTGAGTTGTCTTCCAGAGACTGTGCCTTCCCAGCCACCTGACACTGAGATGCCTCAAGTCATTAATGATACCCCCTAAGATTGCTAACCTTGTTTCCAGGAACATAGGTCCCTCCTAGATATGCCTCCTGATGCAAGACATCGCTGGAACCTTAACGCAACTGGATGTGTATAGTAAGTGCTCAATATAGGGATTTCTCAAGAATGTCTGAAGTGAAATCATACAACACACAGACAGAGATACAATGAAATGCTTATTGCCATAGCTTGTCACTCGAACAAAGTCTATCTCATAGCAATCATATATGAGAGCATGCATACATTTGATGTTATGGGAAATGGGTGAGCCACAGAGTCCCTTAGCATTCTGAGTCTAGCTGAGCTACTCAGTTAGAGAGACCCCCATTAACCAATGTACAATTATGGGATTATCTTATTTTTATGTGAGTTTCAGGCTTCAGAATGGTGGGCTTCCTGTTGTAAGGAAGGTCATTCCTACTGTGCATTATTTTAATAAAACCCACCAAGTTGGGAGCTGGAGAGATGATTCAGCAGTTAAGAGCACTGGCTGTTCTTTCAGAGGGCCCAGGTTTATTCCCAGCACTCACATGCCAGCTCACGCCCACCTGTAACTTCAGTTACAGGGAATCCTATGTCTTCTTTTTTGCCTCTCAGGTCACCAGAGTTGAAAGTGGTGCACAGACATACATGCAGGAAAAATACCCATACTCGAGACATTAAAATTAAAGAATGGAAATGCATGCAGGTAAATTCAGGCAGGCCCTCCTACCTTCGGAGCCAGCGTCTCCATCTGCACTGGCTTCACAGAAGCGGTAGGTTTCGGCTGTTTGTTGGCATTTGTCACTTTGGGGGGCTGAACTGCTATTTTGATGTTCTGAGGTTTCTAGAAGGGAAAAGAAACAGTGAGCATGCCAAGACAACCAGTGTGGCCTGTACAGCGTGGCTCTCCACACAGGTCACTTCGACCCTGTTACCTTAGCCACTTGGGTTGCTCTGGTTGTAACTTTATTTCCAATTTCTTCTAAAACTGCCCGGCGGATAGTCACATGGCTCTTAGTTTTCGGGTTAACTCCTGTGTCAATATTCTTCAAATCACTGGACACCTTAAAACAACACAGAAACAAAAGACCCACAACAGACAATAAATAAGCAAACAAGCAAACAAACAAAAAGTTAAACAGAGAAAATGAAAAAAAAAATCCCCACCTACCTAATGTCAGATACTCCAGAACTGCTCTGGAAAAGGTGAATAGACTGCACTCCATTTATAAAGGGGAGAGGGGCTGGAGATGGCTCTCTGAAGTTAAAGGCATTGGCCGCTCCTGGAGCAGACGACCCCCGCACCCACTGGCAGCTTACAACAGCCTGTAATGCCAGTGCCAGGGGTCTGACGCCCTGCCCTGGATTTCAGTGTACTGCATATACATGGAAGAGTATTCGTGCACATAAATAAAAGTTTACCTTTTTTAAAGGGAAAAGGTGCATTTTAGGAAATCTAAAACTGTTATTTGAAATATCACTCTAAAATCTGGCAAATCCCCCAGCTACTTTACCTGTAAAACAGAGATCTCCCTGTTGCTCTTACGAACTGTTTTGCATATTCAGGTAGTCTTTAAGAGATGTCAAAGTTTCACACCTCAACAATTGCTTCTCATAAACCTGCGTCTCTAGTCAAGCGGTCCTTGTAGTCATTTAGATAGAAACCTCCCTTCACAGAGTATATCAGAATGATTAAGAGCTTTGGCACCACTAGTTAATAATAGGTCGGGTTGTTTAAAATGCCCGTGTCTCAGACATACAGTAGCTTTCATTATAATACCAGTCAAGGAATAAGAAATGTCACCTTTTTATAGAAATACAGCTTTTTATAGCACAGACTCTCAAATTAAAACTATTTGCAATGAAACAGGAGAGATACAATTGTATGAAAAAGGAAAAAAAACTACTGCCAGTTGACCGTAATAGGCTTTTCCAGAACACAGTTAACAAAACAAGGTTTGTTACTCATACCCCAAAGTTTACTCTGTTGTAGAAGTAATAAATATTTCATGAGGAAATATGTCCCTGAGAGTCAGGGGTTTCCTAATTCTAAAACACCTCCCAACTGGGGGCGGGGTAAGCTGACCTCTCAGGATAAGTCAGGCAAAACCCTAGCCCATCCCAACAGAAAGAGTTTAAGTATTAAGTAACTTGAAAGAACCAATTAGACAAAAATGACTTGTTAGTGGGAGTTAGATCTACAAGACTCAGCAGTTTTTAGGATTTAGATTCCCTAAGCCAGAATGTCAAATCTTTCTTGCCAGCACCCCACTGCTAATCTCAGAATGTGTTTAAAAGTTCAACGTTTTACAGGTTAAAGCCTGGTAATGAAGACTAGGTTTAAATTCACACGGAAGAGGAACTGGCAGTTTTTAACTAGCCAGGACAATGGCAGTCAGCTGTGTCGGGGCCTCTACTTTTCAACAAGGTAAAGTAGACCCAGGTACAATTCCAGCCTCAAAGCTAGCAGTATTTTCATTCTCAAAATAAGAATTTGTACGTGCCCCCCCCCATCTGCAATACTGGGGTCCAAGTTTTTCACTTTTCCACTTGAGTGGGTTTTTGGTTTTGTATTTATTTTATTTTATTTTTTTTTAATAAGATGACAAACCCACACTTTAATGAACGTGGCCTGGAAGACAGAGTGCAGATGCCAATGTGAAGTTCACACAAAGTAAACTGTGAAAAAAAAATGTGAAAAGCAGAAAAATGGTACTGGACGGCTTCCCGGTTCCTCCCGGTTCTCATTCCCAGAGCGGCGCAGCCCTGAGCAGTGAGTGACAGGCATGGGGACCCCAGGCCCTTGCCTCTAAACAGCTCTGCCAAGGCCTCGCCAGCAGCCTCCCGGGCCACCCGGGCAGGGCAGGACACCGCAGCCCGGGGCGCACTCACCGTCGGGCGTCGGAGCAGCGCCATGAGGGCTGCGCTGGGAAGTGCGGACTGGGGCAGCCACCGGAGTCCGCGGCGCCGTTGGCCTTCTCAGGGTCTCGCTGCTCCCTACTCACAGCCCGGTCGCCGATTCAAATACCGCACTGCTCGTGCCCCATTGGGCAGCCGCACGCACGGCGCGCGCTCCCCATTGGCTGGGCCTGGAGGTCTTTCTGCACACTGATTGGCTGACTTCTATTTGCTTGTTATAGCAACCAGCGAGGCGGCAAGGCTTTGTTGTTTCCTTGCCTACGGTTTTATTTTTAAATCTGTCCCTGAGATAATTTTTTCTCCCATTGGAAAAGCTAATCTAAATTTTGACAAAAAAAATCTCATATACGGACAGATGTCTTTAGAAGTTTGTTCTGGGTGGGTAGAAGTGGGCTCTAGTGAATATCCTGGAAATGCTACTTCTGACCTTGCTTCCTCTTCCGGAAACATCTACTTGGGAATTTGGCTTGGGATATAGAGCCACAGTCTTCAGGTCGTTCAGAGCTTCACGATAATTGAGAATCCAACGTGTGCAACATTATAGACTTCCTAAAACAACGGATACTCAGCAGAGGCACAAATCAAACTAAAGTGATTTGAGTGAGTGTCAACACGCTAATACCAGCCAGACTCGGAAGTATTTGTCAAATGACGGTGTAATTAATGTGTACAAGGTTTCAAGAAGAAAAACAAGATGTGTCACAAGTTGTGAACAGTGAGAGAAGAGGCCAAAGAACAAAATGTTATCCTGGAGAAAAAAAAAGGTGGTCAAGACAGAAAAAGAAGGCTGAGGTAGGGAGCAGTTGCTCCTGAAGATGTATTCCCAGCACAGAGCAGAGAATATCAAAACACAGAAAATGGTTCAGTGCTCAAAGGCAGCAGAACGACTTCACGTCGGGCTCCATGTCAAATTTGACTCACATCAGGCTCCCCATCACTGTTTTAGTTCAAGTCTCTTCTGCTTGGGAACTACAAACACTGTGGTTGGAGAGCCTTAAATAAGGGTAACTAATCAGGATTGGTTCTCCCCCTTTACCAAAATCTGTTATCTGACATTTCCAATCTGAGTCTATAGACAGGAAGAACCAGTGTCCCCTCCCACCTGGAACAGGCTGGTGGAATTTTCCCTCACCCTAAATTACACAAGGATATGGGGAAATCAGAGGAGCAGAAATAGCTATTTATAGTCCATCTCACATACCTGCTTCCGGAGATGAAAGTTTTGTGGCTGCTGACTGCTCTGGCCACCATCCGTGACATCACAGATGTCACAAGCAGCTTCTCTTCCTGCGAAGTTTTGGATCGAGTTGAGGAAGACAATATACTCAGCAGCTTGTTCTATGGCACATGCCTGTAACTCCAGCTACTGAGAAGGCTAAGGCAGGAGGCCCCCTTAAACTCATAATTTCGGCACCGCCTGGGCAACAGTGAGACCCCCACCTCTAAATGAAAGAAGTCATTTTAACAAATCAATGGGCTGTGATTTAAATTACTGTAATGAACTTTACAACAGGGTCTCACGTATCTTAGGCTGGTTTACAACTTTCTTAATTTGACAGGGACCTTGAGTTTCTAATCCTCCTGCCTCTACCTACTGAGTAGGAGGGATTATGGGCATGCACTACCAGCCCTAGTTTAAACGACATTGCAGGTCAGAGCCCAGGGCTTCCTAAGTGCTAGGGACTCTACCATCGAGCTGCATGGCCAGGCCCTACTATGTTAGATTTAAAGGGGCCAAACTGTTGGTTTGGGACTTTCTACCCCACCACCCCCATCTTAGCTAGCCTTGATATTCTTTTGACCACCAAATGACAAAAATGGAGGCCACTTCAGCTCCAGGCTCTATGGAGGCCTGACAGTTTCAGGATTCCTGGCCCACGGTGTAAAGAAGTCTAGTTACCCCTTGCTAGAGAAATGACAGTGAGGGACTCTTCTCAACATCCCAACAAAAGCATCAGATGTCTACGCTGGGCTCTACTAGACAGTTCATTCCAGTAGTGCTCCCATGCTGGATGCAGTCGCAGGAAGACCACAGTGAAAGACGAGAGCTAGACTCCATTAGCCTTACCCACACTGAGCATCTGTGAGCAAAGAAAAGTGCCTGAAACCACACTTGTGGTAGGTTTGTCACAAAATACATAAAAGATATACTTACCTAGGGTATTTCTGTGACCTACAATAAGCCTTTTGCGAATGGCCATCTATATGTTCTGGTCTTCTCACAGGGCCACAATTTCGCAAACATACATAATATAGTGGTTGAGACATGGGATCTCTTTAAAATCTAAATTCTCAATGCTGTCTTGGCACGTGTTTTGATTTTGTCATTTCCAGATGTTTTACCATTTGACTGAGTCTTAAGGGTATTGTTTATCCAACATGGAAGCAAGAATTACATGCAACTGGAAACTTGAGAAGTCCTGACACCAGTCAGAGAGAATGTTTACCTACAAAAGACACTATGTCCAGAGCAAGGCCTTGGCAAGAAACCTACACTTAAAACATTAGACAAAATGGTATGTCTCTGGCTAATAGGAAGCAATTGAAGAGGGTGTCCAATGATGAACTATAGCCTCTATACACTCACATACCCCACCACCACATGCAAAATGTAATTTTACGGCAGAGGGCATCAATTCTCCCCTTCAGCAGTAGCTGATACAGCACAGTATTCAGCAGCAACTCTGCACACTGCGCTGTGATTATGAGGGGAGAAGCAAAAGGCACACAGTCCAAAGTCTTCTGTGACTGTAGGACAACAGGAAGTAGCATCCTTGTGAATGCAGAAGAGAACTGTTCCTGCCCATTTAGTGACTAGATGATTGGACATGGTGCAAGAGAAATGTTAGCAGCATCTCATGATACTGCATTTGCTTTGAAAGGTCAAATATTTTGGAATTAAAGCAATAATTTATCTTTTTAAGACTTATTTTTTATTTTATCACTGTATATTTGCATCTTGGAGTGTGGTATAGTGAAAAACTCCAGGATTTGAGAGGCAGAGGGAAGGTTAATCTCTGTGAGTTTGAGGCCTGCCTGGTCTACATGAGTTCTAAGTCAGGGTTTACATAGTAAGACCCTGCCTTAAAAAAACAAACAAACAAACATACATACATATAAATGAAATAGTAGCAATTATAAAACAGTCAACAGGTGTGTATTTAAACCACATATAATGTGTAACATGAGGGGGCTGGGCTTGCCTGTTTGTGTTTCGGTCCTGCCCAGCCCCCCAGATGTTTAGTCCCAGAGAAAAATCACACAAGCGATCTCTGTAAATTATAATGCTGATTGGCCCATTAGGTCAGGCTTCTTACTGGCTAACTCTCACATCCTGATTAACCCATTTTTCTGACCTATTTTAGCCATGTGGCTCAGTACCTTTTTCAGCTGGGGCAGATCACATCCTGCTGCTTTGGTGATCTGGGCAGGTGTGGGAGGAATTAACTTCCTCCTTCCCAGAATTCTCCTGTTCTCCTTGCATCATTTCCACTTCCTGCCTGGTTTTCCCACCTACACCTCTTGCCTGGCCAATCAGCGTTTATTTAAAACATGATTGACAGAATACAAACAATTCTCCCGCACCAATAATGTGTGTGAGAGAGAAATCTATGCTTTTATGTTCTGAAAAACACTAGAGGACCCCACAGAATGAAGTTCTTTCCATTTTAACTTTTTTAAAAAAATGTGTATGGCAAGGCAGTGATGGCAGCTGCCTCTAATGCCAGCACTCAGGAGGCAGTAGTGGCGAATGCCTCTAATCCCAGCACTCAGGAGGCAGTAGTGGCAGACGTCTCTAATCCTAGCACTCAGGAGGCAGAGGCAGGTGGATCTCTGAGTTGGAGGATAGCTTGGTCTACAGAGAGAGTTCTAGGATAGCCAGGGCTGCACAGAGAAATCCTATCTTGAAAAACCAAATAAATAAATATGTATGTATGTACATATATGTGTACATATGTGTGGGTGTGCACACATGAGTTCCTGCAGAGGCCAATAGTGTCAGATTCCCCTGGAGCCTGCAAACTACCTGACATGGATGCTGGGAACTGAACTCAGGCCCTCTGGAAGAGCAGTCTGCACTCTTAATCACTGAGTCATCTTTCCAAACACACTCCTCCTTTTCATTTCGATGTTCTCAGCCCCCTGTACAGACTCAGGCTCTCTAATGGCAGTCTTGTATATATCAGTCTACTTTTTGGCTTTTACCCAGTGAGGAAGCTGACCTGAGTCACTGTTACACTCTTTCCTGACCTTCCATAAAGTAGACTGGTAATCAAATGTACTTCTTTTATCTTCTTTTTGCAGTGTTAGGCATTGAACTCGGGATACCTGGAGTTTGGAAATTTTTCAACATCAGACTATAGTCTGGCTCACAAGTATATTTTTAGCTCTATCAACAAGCACACTCTGTAGTCACATGTTGATAATGAAATTACTCTACTGTGATATTTAGAAATATAACAGGCAAAAGTGAATGAAAACAAGCACCAGATTATGCAAATATCAGTTAGATGGATCTGATTTGAATTCCAAGATGGCCAAAGTTAACCATTTTATAAACACTAATTATGAAACACAAAGACAATAGAAATATAAGTTATTTATTAATCAATCCACTTACAAAGCAGGTGGCTTAATGCAAGCTTATTGACATCTTCACATATGATCCATGGGAACATGTCTTCCACATACAGACAGTGGTATTACTGACTGGATGCATTTGCAATCTTGGGCATATTAAGCATATTTAAACAAATAAAATTAGGCTATCCTGTATATGAAAGTATCTTGATAATATGCATCCTGAAGTGGATTAAAACTTCCTCCAAAGGAGAAATGTTAGTATGTTAACTTTTATTCTATATTATGTTGTAAATCTTAACTATAGAAATTAAAATTTTTAAATCAGTGATCGACTCTTGGTAATGTCTGAAGTGGGTGTCTATAACCATAGCCAACAGTAGCCTGACAATATAATCTGTGCCTCACAGTATCTGCAGATTTATTGTTTTCAAGTTTAGAGAGAAAGAAAACAAGAGACATGTAGATTCAGCTGACTTTATTTAAACTATAAAAAAAAAATCCCTTAAAAGTGAACCTGGGACCCTTAGAAGTTCTATGAATGCATAGATACCTGCCAATGACTGAATCCTAAATCCTGACTGAATGACTTTATAAAATTAATGTAAGCAGATATCTTAATTATTCGTGCTTAGCAGAAGACCTAACAAAATTCTACATGTCTTTTTCAATTTCCCTAGTTTTTTTAAATCTGCAAGTATATACAATCCAGCTAACTCAAATTAATATTTAGTGTTCATCAAAGCTGTTTCACAGCAGCAAAAATTGGATTAGGGAATAAAGTTCCGAATGGCATAGAGGAAGATAAATAGGGTCAGAACAGCAGTCTAAACGTACGGCGTCAATAGCAACTCGATCTTGCACTGTGCTGGAAGAAAGGATACACCAAGAAAATTCCTATTGATCACTCTGGTCATGTGAGTACCACCTTCATCTGATTGACATGGGTTGCATTCTGTTCCCAGTATTAAGAGTGGTACTTAACTCAGAACTCCATATTGTAAATATACAGCAGCCATTTTGTCCTAATTTAATTAAGGAATGTCTTAATACACAATATTATCATTTTCTAGAGGATCTTTATACATTAAACTAAAGTACATGATTGATTAAATTAAAGGTTAGTAATGAATAAAAAAATTCATAATTCTCAAGGTACTATGTAAAAAAAAAAAAAGTAACAACAAAAAGACCACAAAAATACTACTTACTAAAGCAGCTAATCTTGCCTGCAAGTTTAGGGTCACAAGCCCATAATATGTGCAAAGAAATGCAATACAAGGAATCATGCAAAAATACAGTAAAATGATACAGGAAGAAATGTCAAATCTAGAAAAAAAAACCACAAAAGCTTTTATAAATACATCAAAATCAACTGTGTACATAAGTTGTAGGTCTAGCGGTAGCTGTACCATGTAGCAGAGTCAGCACTCCGAGTTCAAGGCTTCCAGATCTGCGCAGGTAAGTCATGCCATCTTTGGTTGACTGCAGTACCAGGAAGAATGGGAATGAGAGGGACAGCAAGAGTTCTGAAATACGGTGTCAACTTTCACTTGGCAGCTGGGCTTCGATGTCCACTCTGCATATGGGGCACTTCTTATTGGTGATCAGCCATTGATCAACACACACTTGGTGGAAAAGGTGCATACACGGAAGGCGCCTATCATAGATGAAGAAAACAAACAGCAAAAATTAATTTTATGACGATTCTATTGGGCACAGATTTACAAATAAAGTGTTCTGAAGTCACTAAGCATATTTATGTTAAAAGCACAAAGACTAGAGCTGGCAGAATAGCTCGGCAGGCAAAGTAATTGCTATGCAAGTCTGCCAACCTGAGTTTCCATCCTCAGAACCCACATAAAAAGGAGCATGCATTGGCATATGCGACATCTGTAATCCAGGACACGGGGTGGAAACAAATTTCCCAGAAGCTGGACAGCTAGCTAGACTGGTGCATACAACAGAGAACACAAATAGAGCCCTGTTTCTAAGTGAGGGACAACACTTTGTGCACTGTGATACACAAACACAAACACACACACCCATTATCTCTAAGGGGAATTGTTCATTATAAAAATGGCATTTTAGACAATATATGAGTTACCAAGATAAATAACTGACACTTCTATGGAGGCAAAATATATAAAACTCAGAGCTGTCAAATCAAGAATCAGACTGACAATTAGTCTAGTTTTGTCTTTTACATGAGCAGCCAAGGCACTGTAGATGAAAATATTCTGTTTTATGATGCTGCAAACACTTTAAAAAAATATCAAATCATTATGTTGTCTGTGAAGATTCACTAGAAACAGAATGTTTAAAACAAAATAAAACCACAGGGGCTGCAGAGATGGTTCAACAGTCAAAGAGTGCTGGCTGTCTTTCCAGAGGCCATAATTCCCAGTACCCAGTTCCAGGGGATCCAATGCCCTCTTCTGGCCTCTTTGAACACCTGCATGCACATGATGCTCAAACTTATATGCAGGTAAAACACTTATACACGTAAGAAAATTAGTAATTCACTTTTAAGGATTTTAAAAAAACCCTTATCACATGGTATAACTAACAATAATGTATCTTTCTCCTCTCTCAACCACTAGCTGAAGATGTATGATGAGCCAGGAGGGGTCTACAGATCAAGTTCCAGGACGGCCAGGGCTACACAGAGAAATCCTATCTAGAAGAAAAACAAAGTTTGACGACATTATCCTTAGAAACAGAAAAAAAAAATATTACCCATAGCTGTTATGCTTGATATAATACTGAATTATTGGTCTTTGGAGTTTTTTTGGTTTTTCCAAGACAGGGTCTCTCTGTATAACTTTGGAGCCTGTCCTGGAACTTGCTCTATAGACCAGGCTGGCCTCAAACTCACATGGATCTGCCTGCCTCTGCCTCCTGAGTGCTGGGATTAAAGGCGTGTGTAACCACGGCCCGGATAAATTACTGTTTTAAAAATCAAGATTATAAAGCAATTACCTTACAAACTACAAACAAAATGCCTTCAAATAATATTAGGTCAGGATGAGAACCTATGCTAAATCACAAAAGAAGTATGGTTATATTGAGCATAGAGGCATGTGCCTGTAATCCCAGCACTTGGGAGGCAGGGGCAAACCTCCATGAGTGTAAGGCCAGCCAGTGGTATCTAGCAAGAACCTCTCAGAAAACCAAAACCAAACCAAACCAAACCAAACCAAACCAAACCAAACCAAACCAAAAAACAAGAAAACAAAGGGTGGGGGGGGGAGGGGGAGGAGAGGGTGAAGAATGCTGGCAATAGAGTATATAGAGGTGATCGTGACCTTTTATAATCTAAATAGCAAAATCCTCTCAAATTTAATTCCTGAAAGTGTTACAGAAGACAAATTTTTACTACAGAAGCTCCCCATGCAGCCTCTGGTGGAGTCCAGAGTGGAAGTGCACACCTCTCCATGACTTTGATCCTTTTTATCCTTTTGCTTACAGAGCATAATCTTTATTTGGTTTCCGTTTACTTTTAAATGAATGCCCTTTAAGACCTATTGATCTAACTATTTGTGAATCAATTATCTGTGCTGCTAAGGAACAAAGCCATGGCTGTGCAATTAGACAAGGACTCTGACACTGAGCCATAATCCAGTCTTTTCTATTTAAGAGTGGACTTTAAATAAGAAATATCTAGTTACCTCACATCTTCACCTTCCTCTAAAATAGACAAACAGATAGTACACTTTTCCTCTGTGTCTTCCTCTGTCCCTTCTTCCCCATCTTGTTTGCAGTGCAGTTTCCTCTGTGAGAACCAATCAGTTGTTACCTTATTAGCAGAGATGACATTATTGAACAACTGAGTAAAGTCTGTGTTTATTTAAAACAAAACAAAACAAGACCACATATTCATATGTAACTTATTTCTTACACAACAGTCATGAATTAACAGATGAATTAAGTGACTACAAATTAATTATAGACTCCTCAAAGTGAGCATGAAAAGCAAACTCAAAATGTAAGAGATTCTCTAGGTTGAACCCTATTAATTTTATTTCGTGACAATGATAATTTGCACAATTATTATTTTAACACAGTTAAGCAAATTATTCTTCTAATGACTATTTTAAGTATCTCTAAGTTAATTCTAATTTATAGCATTTAGTTTAAACAAGATACAGTTGTAGTAATGCCTGACTGACACTCTTAGAAAACATGAAAAATACCAATAGTAACCTCCATTGTTTTCCGTACAGCACTAAGCATTATCTGTTCACTATGAACAGCTCATTTTACATATAGTTTGGAATTCCACATACATAATATGAACAATACAGAAATATGAACTAGGTATCAGTGGAAAGAACTGGCTAGGTGTTTTAGCTATTTTGGTTTTCCAAGACAGGATTTCTCTGTGTAATAGCCCCAGTTGTACTAGATCGCTATCTGTAGAACAGGCTAATCTCAAAACTCACCTGCATCTACCTCCCAAGTGCTGTGATTAAAGGTGTGCACCACCACCACACATATATGTTAAAAGCATATATGAGACAGCGTTTCTCTGTAGCTCTGGAGCCTGTCCTGGAACTAGCTCTTGTAGACCAGGCTCGAACTCACAGAGATCTGCCTGCCTCTGCTTCCCAAGTGCTGGGATTAAAGGCGTGCGCCACAACCGCCCAACTTGGTTTTTGCTATATTTTATAGCCCAAGCAGGCCTTCAAATTACAGCAATTTCCTTGCCTCAGGCTTTCTAGTGCTGGGAGTACAGGTGTAGCCATCACATTACGTGTAAGAGGATAGCTTTAAAAAACTGTAATATTATCATATGATGGAATTTTGTACAAGCTACTAAAAATGAGATGAGATAGGCAGCCACACCTATAATGCCAGCACAGGAGGCTGTGGCAGGGGAAGTTTAAACGTAAGACTAGCCTGGGCTACATAGCAACACTTATACCAGAAGCAAAGAGCTGAGAGCTAATAAAAGGTGGTGCACAGCTGGGCTGTGGTGGCACACGCCTTTAATCCCAGCACTCAAGAGACAGAGGCAGGTGGATCTCTGTGAGTTCGAGGCCAGCATGGTCTACAGAGCAAGTTCCAGGACAGGCTCCAAAGTTACAGAGAAACCGTCTTGAAAAAAAAAAAAAAAAAAAAAAGATGGTGCACAAAGTTTCCTCTCTGTCTCCCTATGGGTTTCTTTTTTAACTGGAAGAAACAACATATACATATAAATATTATATATAAATGTTATAAAAGTGAGTATAATAAAATGCACTAAAGTATCTTGAAGAACACTTAACAAATCAATGACTTCCCATCTGAAAAGGGAAGCCCAGAGTTCAGGAAAAGATTTCAGACTATATTTCAGATAAATTTCATTATGGAAATCACTTCAATAGTAATACAGTTGCTATTACAGAATCAAGGGTCTATAAGATTCCATTTTTATCATAACAATCCTCACCTTTTTATATTTATGTGGATATGTGCATCTTTCAATTGTTCCCTGGGATGCTCCACGATTGACATTTCCTAATCTTTCTTCCAGATGAATCAGTTCCTGAAAGTGAAACATAAATAGTATTAAAATCACAATGACTACTGTCAGTATTGTCAGGGGCTGGAGAGGTAACTCAGCGGTTAGGAGCACTGACTATTCTTCGAGAGTTCAATTCCCAGCACCTAAATGGCAGTTAACAACTGGTGTGGAAAAATCCTGTTGTACACTGTAAAGATCTGTCACTCAAATTGGTTTAATAAAAGGCTGATTGGCCAGTAGCCAGGCAGGAAGTACAAACAGGTCAGTCAAACTAAGGATGATGGGAAGGAGAAGAGTCAAGGAGTCACCAGCCAGATGTAGAGGGAGCAGAAGATGAATGTGCCAAGCTATTAAAGATACTGCCATGTGACCGAGCATAAGTAAGGAATATGGGTTAACTTAAAATGTAAGAGCTAGTTAATAATAAGTCTGAGCTATTAGTCAAACATTCATAATTCATATTAAGCCTCCAATTCAATTATTTAGGAAGTAGATGTTGGGTATTTGGGAATAGGTGAGCACAAGAGAAATGTCTGTTTACAATCAACTATAGGTAACTCCAAGATCAGACAAACATGAAAGCTAAATACCAATGCAAATAAAATAAAATAAAAATAGAGTATGATCAATACTACAAAGGCAACAAATTTAAATATTCATAACCCTGCAATATAAATACTATAAATGCTGGCAATGCAACATTATCCTGTAAATCAGGTTGTAAACATGTGGCAGTACAGTCTGGATGTGCACATGGCTGCAGAATCTGAATCCCTTCCACTACATCAAGGAAATGAGCAGTTCTAAGTTATCCAACCACAGATGAGATCTTCAGCTGCACACACATTGGCTTTCCTTTCTCTAGACTGTTTCTCTACCAAGAATGCTCAATTTTCTTCCCATATGCAAATGGCTCTCCATTGGATATTTTACTGATTTGGTAGGTTTTTAAGTTTTTTATTTTATGTGTATGGGTATTTTGTGTGATATTTTTGTGTAGCATATGCATGCCTGGTGTCTGAGGAGGCCAGAAGAGGGTACTGAATTAATCCCCTGAAACCAGAATTACAGACACTTGTGAGCTACCATGTGGTTACTAGGAATTGAACCTGCGTCCTCTAGAAGAGCAGCAGCCACTGATCTTAACCACCGAGCCATCTCTTCAGCCCCCCTTTTGTGTTCTTACAAGAAAAGGCCTTACTATGTAGTGTTACTTAGCCTGGAATTCATCAGGTAGACCAGGCTGGCATAAAACTAACAAGGTTGACAGGCGGTGGTGGCACACACCTTTAATCCCAGCACTGAGGAGGCACAGGCAGTCAGATCTCTGTGACTTCGAAGCCAGTCTAGTCTACAAGAGCTAGTTCCAGGACAGGCTCCAAAGCTATATAGAAAAACCCTAACCAACCAAACAACAACAACAACAAAAAAAACCCCACAACTCACAAGGTTATGCCTTTGTCTCTCAAGTGCTTGGATTAAAAGTGTGTACCACCATAATCAGTTTTATAAACTTTATATAAACTTTATATATTCTTTTATTCACATTCAACGTCTTTAAGATATTCACATTCAATGTCTTTAAACAGTTAAGTTTTGACTTTTAAGATACTCTTCATAAATCTTTGTAAGTCCCTGAAGCAAAATCCAGAAAATCAGACATCTGACTGCCTTCTGATTCTCAGCTCAGTAGCCATTCTACTTAATCAACTCTGCACTAAAAATTCAATGGCAAATATCTTCACTTATTTTACTTCATACCTCAAAATTGCCCCTGAAAGGACCTCTGAACGATGTTCCATCCAATCCTGAAGAAATATAACGAATGTGAGGGTAGCCTGCCATGTCAGGAACCTGTTTTTAATATAAGAGATGAAGTCATTAAGATTTGTATTTTACTGCTAACATTGAAAATACTCAACCTCCATTCAAGTCATAAACTGAACTCAAAAGACAAACATGTGTAGCACAAATTCTAATTGATCTTAATAATAAAAATCTAGTCACATACAGATGTTAATGAAGATCAGAGAAGCAAAACAGCCAGTCACCAGTTCTTACCTCTACCTCAGATCCAAGACCAAATGCTCCCTCTATGAAACCTCAGACTGTTTCTAAGACTGAATCCTCAGATTCTATCTGAGCTCCTGTTCACTCTTGTCTCCAGCTCCCTAGTGATGGTATTAAAGGCATGTGATCCCAACTGCTGGGATCACCTTTGTGTGAGTTCTGTTTCTCTTTTAGATAGATTCAATCTCAAGTAGCCCAGCATGACCTTAAACTCATGGAGAACTGTCTCATCTGCTTCTGTCTCCTGAACGCTGGGATTAAAGGTGTGTGTCACCACTGCCTGGCCTCTATGGCTAACTAGTGGCTTAAGTCTGCACTCTGATCTTCAGGCAAGCTTTATTTGTTAGCACAAACAAAAATATCACCACAAACATGACTCTAATTACACATTCTATTAAGAGGAACAGTTAGGCGCCCCTTAAAACACAAGCTCTCATTTCTGAAAAGATGGTTGAAAGAAATAGGGAAAACAGCTGTTTCATGAGGTAACAAATTCTTACATGAACTTTGCATATAGTTGTGTATGGTGAGACATACTTGGCCCTGGCTACTAAGAAGGCTGAGGTAGGCTAAGGCAGCTTGAGGCTAGGTCTAGTTTCAAGGTCAGCCTGGGCAACAGCAAAATATACTCTGTCCACCCTACTTTAAAAAAAAAAAAAAAAAAAAGTCGGGTGTGGTTGTACACACCTTTAATTTCCAGCACTCAGGAAGCAGAGACAGATGGATCTCTGTGAATTTCAGGTCAACTTGGTCTATGTAGTGAGTTCCAGAATTGCCTGGGCTACGCAGAAAAACCTTGTCTCAAAAACAAAACAAAAAAATGTCTATGTATATTCAAGCTTTTGAAGCCCTATGATCTCTTAGTAGTAGCAAACAAACTTAAGAAATTAAAGCTTTCATATGACCATGACAACCTCTCAATAGTAAATAAAGCATGAAATATTCTTGCCTACGTGTCTTGATTCTGTCAATGAAACTAATTTTAACAGACTTTTTAAAAAATTGTTTTGTTCGGCTGGGCAGCAGTGGCACACGCCTTTAATCCCAGAACTAGGGAGGCAGAGGCAGGCAGATCTCTGTGAGTTCAAAGCCAGCCTGGTCTACAAGAGCTAGTTCCAGGACAGGCTCCAAAACTTCAGTGAAACCCTGTCTCAAAAAAACAAAACAAAGAAAAAATTGTTTTGTTCAGTATAGTGAATCCTGAATATTTCAGGCTTCATTTTTTGTGAACTGGACACAGGTAAAATTTATTTGTTACCCCAGAGATACTTGTTCTTTATGGCCAGTTAGTGTGCACTGGGAAACCGGCACTGGCTGCTTGATGCTCCCACTGATGTTGAGCAGGCTCTGCCTTCTCAGCTTAGCTTTCCTACATCTATTTAGTGGCAAACTTCTGCCACCAGCTTTCTTTCATGTTTAAATGTGGTTCCAAATACAGTTCTCAAGCACCATCTAGGGATTCTACCCAAGGAAGGCTGTGTTTCGCCTTGTGAAGCAAACATGTCAGGTCAGCTTTGCTCAGATGTGCATTGTAGTGCTACTGTTGCACAATCACTGTGAACAAATCATCAATATACATCAGATCAGTGATTAACAGAAACATGAACAAACCAAGGGTCAAGACTAGAAGACTGCAGCATACTCCATCTTCTCTGTAATGGTTGTCTAGTTATAGCAGCAGACATTCAAGTCAACTGACTATACGAAGGAGACAGCACCATCCATCTTTATAAATAATCTTCAACATTTTAGCTGGGCAGTGGCGGCAGATGCCATTAATCTCAGCACTTGGGAGGCAGAGGCAGGCGGATCTCTGTGAGTTCGAGGCCAGTCTGTTCTACAAGAGCTAGTGCCAGGGCAGGCTCCAAAGCTAGAGAAACCCTGTCTTGAAAAAAAAAAAAATCAACATTTTAAATTGTTTTTCTTTACTTTTTCCAACATTACTATTATTTTTTATTTTGTTTTGTTTTTCAAGACAAGGTTTCTCTGTGTAGCCCTAACTGGAACTCACGGTCTTTGACTCCCTAGTACTGAGATTAAAGATGTGTGCCATCATTGCCTGGCTCTCCAGCATTATTTTTAATCAACCTGTGCTGAATCAAAACATACTTACAGGGGCTGAGGAGACGGCTCAGAGGTTAAGAGCACTGGTTGCTCTTCCAGAGGTCCTGAGTTCAATTCCCAGCACCCACATGGTGGCTCACAACCATCTGTACACTCCCAGCCTCTCATGGCACATTGTTATGTTACCCGCAGCTTCACTTACAACCAAGAGCACAGGAAGTAACTGACAACATCCTCCAAGCAACTTAGAAAGAAATTTGCCTCCACATATTCTAAACCTTCCTTCCAGAAACCTTTCCCTGTCTTTTTCCTCTACCTTCTCTTCTCCTACTCAAATTTACTCTTCTGTTTCCCACCCTGGTCTATACTTAATTGACTACTCCTCATTTCTCTCTTTGAACAAGCTGTTCTTTCTACTGGCTTCCTGTCAAATCAAAATGTTTCTTGTTCCTCCAAACCTCAATGCTCTTAATCCTGGAATTTATACTAAATCTGTCCTTCATAGGTAAGCTACAAGTATAGTTACTGTCTGCAAGTTCTCATCTTTTTGAAAAAGTCCTACAAGACCTAGCAGTATGTCTTAGTGAGAGAGTGTTTGCCTAGAGAGCACAGGACCCTGAGTTCAATTTTGTCATGTCAAAAAAGGGGATGGGAGAAGAAAGGGAAGGAAATGAAACATAACCATCTCCATTTCTCACTGTTAAACCACTGACAACCATTACGATATCAATACTCCCCAAGCTTTTATTCTTTCATAAGGCACTACCAACCATATGCATTTATGAGAATGCTCTAGTTTTGTTTCTCACTTGAGCAGCTGTCAACTGACTGAGGGACACTGCCATCTAAATGTTGTTTCTCCTATCCACTCACCTTCTTGCCGCTTATACACTCTCTGAAAATCTACTCCTCTTCCTTGGATTCCTTAGCAATGAATGACATTTTGTCAGGTTTCAAAAACATACCTTTAGCCTAGATATCTTTCTTAGTGGACACAGCTATCTCAGATTTAGTAGGTCTAAAATCTCATCTAATATTTTTCAAGCCATCTAACATTCTCCAATACAACAAAAGGCACTACACTTTTTCACACAAACTAGAAACCTGGAGCCAACTTACTACACTGTGTCCTGGTGCTTTTCCTGCCATCTGCCAGTGCTTTTTTCATTAAAGCAGTTTTTAAAAATTTTTTATTTAAAAGTTTTTTTTTTTTCATTTTACATACCAAACCAGTTTTCCCTCCCTCCACTTCTCCTGCTCACCTCCACCTTCCTCCCATCCACTCTTCAGAAAGGGTAGGGTCTCCCATGGGGAGTCTGTCAACAAAGTCTACCAGTACCTTTATTTCAGAAACTTACTAAACTTTACTCTTCTACCAAAACACTTAAAGGAATTTCCTTCTCCCATCTCTAAATCTGCTTTTACCATAATTGAGGACATGTGTCCTTTTCAAGTATAATCAGATTAAATCACTCAAAAAGCATAAATATAATCAAAACATCTCAGCTGAGAGGTAGAGGCAGGCATATCTTTGAGTCTGAGGCCAGTCTGGTCTACAGACTGAGTTCAAGGACAGCAAGGCTACAGAGAGAGACCCTGTCTCAAAATAAAACAAGAGCAACAACAAATTCCCCTTCTGTGGCTGCTGAGACCCAGTTTCCTGTCGAAGCAGCTTTGTGTTCTCATTCTCTCCTTCTTTATTTCCTTCCTTCTTCCCCCACTCCCTGAGCCTCTCTCCCCAACCCCATCTCTCTGGTGCCAAATACAGGCTCACAAGTGCTGGGCAAATGCTGACACTGAGCTACCCCGGCTGGCACATCTGGATACACAAGCTTACATGGACTCTAAGTCCTTGGTGCTATTAGATAGCTCAGACCAGTATCAACCTCTGCAAAGGCAGCACCCCAAAGTCCACAGAAGTCGAGGACAAGAGGCAATGAGGACTCCCTACAGTGCCTTCCCTACAACAGAGAACTTCCTTTCCTCCTCACATCTATAGTTAGTTTTATAGTGATTTTTTTCAACATTGTAGCAACACAATCTGCATCTGTCAATGAGAAGCAACAATAGCATGATGGCATCAAAGCAGACCCCATCCACTGATGGCAAATTCACTGATGCATGCGTCTTAGTGACAGCAGGTCATGTTCATCTCTATCGGTGTGCAGAAAAGTTCACTTCGCAGCATTTTGTACATCAAAAGTATATTTTACAACAGACTCAGATTTCAATATATCTAATATCTTTTCATAGTACAATATCTAACTAATTAGTGGAATGATTTCTAAATTCTTACAAAATATCTACTGCACCGAAATATTTTAATACAATATTTAATTTAGAATAAAAAGTTACTTTTAGAAGGCAAATGTATCAGAATATTTAAAATTTCCATTTTACCATTAAAGGAAGTGCTCCTAACTGTAGGTGATGAAGTCGAGGAGGGGCATGATAATGGGCTAGATGAGGGTGCAGTGCGCCAGGCGTGTAGGTAGCTGCAGTCACTCCAGCTTCAATCCCCAGTTCCCTAAGAAAGAGCAAGAGCAATTATCTTTGTGCCTTCCTTACAGTCTCTTTACTGCCAAGAGAAATAGAAGCAATTTCAATAATCCTTATGTTTAGTTAAGGCAAATGTAACTTAAGACCTTTCCCCCCAAATTTTACTAATAACTTCAAGTATATTTCAGAAATAAATGTTCAAAGAGCCCCATTTTGTGAGTATAAGCAGAAAAGCATTTTAATTCAGTTTCACGCAATCATAAAAGCAAGACAGACAGAGTGGTTCCTAGAGTCCCTTCTAATCAACCTGGCTCTCCTCAAGGAGCACACCAATACAGCTGACTTTGTTGGTTCATTAGAATGTGACACATTCTCCCCAGGCTTTTGTTTGCTGTGTTCTTGGTGTTGGTGACAATTAAAAGAGCTTCTACACCTAAAACCTTGAGCAGTGACCCTACAAGAAGGGCAGACGTGGTATATAATGAAGCTCCACTTGCTTACTCCTACTCTGCTGCAATGACTGCAAGTGAATTAAAATGAAAATGTAATGAAAACCCATTTCACTTCTCCAGAACAAACTAGGTTTCTCTTTTCAACGGTGGACACTGCAAGTGAAGCAAACATAACCATGACAAGGGAGGTATTTAAGGAAGTAAGGCAAGCAGGGTTGCATCAGGAGTCTGACCTTAGCAGACACTAATGAAAACAGAAGAAATACTCTAATCCTTGCTGTAGAATAATTCTTCTGTACATTGTGAAGATGTGTTGTTTTCATTATTAATAAAAAGCTGATTGGTCAATAGCTAGGCAGGATTTTTGAGGCAGAGAAAATGTTAGGGAGAAGGATGGAGTCAAGGGAGTTTGAGGAGGCAAAGAACACATAGGATTGGAAGTAAATAGATGAGGTAAATGTGCCTCGGGGCAGCAAACAGAAGAACAGAAATGAGTTAATTTAAGTTGTAAGAGCTAGCTAAAAACAAGCCTAAGCTATAGGCTTAGCATTTATAATTAGGTCTCTGGATATTTGGGAATGGCTGGCAGGACAGAGCTGATTAAAGGTCTAGATGGAAAACTCCACCTACAAGTCCTCTCAACTATATATAGAATTTGTCAAAGTCAAACACGGTTGTAGAGAACTGAAGAGTGTGGCTAGGAAGGAGAGGCACATGGGAACACAGGCTATAATCAACAGACGCAAGCATTCACTTCAACAGGACTAAGTTCTGGGTTTCTACAGCATCTCCTCATGGTCGAATAGAAAGCAATAGATAGACACTCAAAACTGTTTAAAGGGGGATTTTAAATGCCACCATAGAAAAATGATAAATATTGAGGTATGGATATACTAATTAACCTGAGTTATCATTCTGCAATGTTCCCAGTCCACACAGTTATTACCTGGCACAAAAGAAACAAAACCAACAGCTGTTTTCCTGCTTCTGGAGACTCCCGCCCCAGAACGCAAGATCCTCCTCTGTCTTTCCAGACTTCACTCCCCAGACAGTTCCTCCCAGCACAACTGTCCCTCCACACAGCTGCTCTCTGTGATATGCATCCTACTATAAGGGATTTCTCCCCAGTTTTACCAGAAGCTGCTTAGCACAGTTTGAAATAAGTAAAATACTGACCAGGCAGATCTCTCTGGAGCCTGGCGAGGATGTGAGGACATGGTTTGAGGCACATGAATATGATGCCCATGGCCATAGTTTGGGTGCATCCTATGTGGATGGGGCGGGGGACGTTCATGTGCCCGCCTGGAAACACAGAACACAAAAAGACCACTGGAAATAATTGAATAATTGGTTATTTCTTAATGTGAAAAAAACTTGTTAAAATTATGAAAATATATACATAATCATGATGAAATTTATACTAATAAACATGTACCATAAAATTATTAAATTAAAAAACACATGAAATTTTTGACACAAACTTACTGCTCATTTACTCTACTATCTCCAATTTAATAACATCCCAGACTCCAGGCATGGTGGTGAAAGCACTTAATCCCAGGATTTGGGAGTCAGAGGCAGCTGGGTCTCTTTTAAGTTTGAAGCTAGCCTGGTCTACAGAAGTAGTTCATGGTCTGCCAAGGCTACACAGTGAGATCCTGCCTTAAAAACAAAACAAAAACATTCTACAAAAATGGTAATTTAGGCATTCTCTTAAAACTTCTACAAAATGTATTTTAATTAGGAGAACAGTAGAATGGAAATAAAACTTTAAAAAGTGTGTTTACACCAGTTAGCTACTTCACATAAACATATAAAGCAGGACAATGGAAAATTTTATTTTGCTACAATCATTAAAAAAAAATTCAATCATTTTAATTAAGAATATGAGGGGTCCCCCCCATACACACACACACACACACACACACACACACACACACACACACCGCCCCTTGGAGACAGGTCAAAGGGCAGTTTGCAGGAATCTGTTTTCTCACTCCATCATGTAGCCCTGGAGATCAAGCTCAGGTTCTCAGGCTTGACAGTAAGCTTACCCACTGAGCCATCTTGCTGGATTCACTGACATTTTCTATAAAGGCTGACCATTAAAACATCAGTATGTTTTATAGTCATATGATCTATGAAAAAATTAACCAGGGCTGGAGAGATGGCTCAGAGGTTAAGAACACTGGCTGTTCTACCAGAGGTCCTGAGTTCAATTTCCAGCAACCACATGATGGCTCATAACCATCTGTAATGAGGTCTGGTGCCCTCCTCTGGTATAAATGTAACTGCAGGAGGAACATTGTATACATAATAGATAAATCTTTAAAAAAAAAATAAGAACACTGAACTTTAATTATTAAAAAAACCCCAAAAAACAAACAAAAAAACTAACCAGCTAGGTCTTTGCCATGCCAAAAATGTAAATCAATATGTAAATAAAAAGTTAAGCTGTTTTCTAATAAGACTTTATTTACAAAAATTGGCAGTGTGTTGGGCCACAACCCAATGTCCTAATAATTCATAAATCTGATGATTGTGAATACCAAATCCTGAACTGTCAAAAGAAAACATTTTCTTATTATAAATATGGGGAACTACACTATTAGAAGGTTAATAAAACTTTGTTAAGACTGGAGCTATGTGGCCCAGGCTGGTCTTGAATAGAATTCTGATCCACCTCTACTTTCCACCTCCAAGTAGGGCATCATGCCTAGTCCTTATGCAATGCAGAGGACTAAATTCAGGGCTTCAAGCATGCCAGGCAAACACCCTCCCAACTGAGCTATATCCCAAGCCTCCATGTCAGTTTCTGTTTTTTGGTTTTTTTCGAGACAGGGATACTCTGTAGCTTGGGAGCCTGTACTGGAACCAGTTCTTGTAGACCAGGCTGTATAGACCTTTAACTCACAGAGATCTGCCTATCTCTGCCTCCCAAGTGCTGGGATTAAAGGCGTGTGCCACCACTGCCAAGTTCTATGTCAGTTTTTGAAATTTCTTTTTGTTTGTTAAAGACAGGGTTTCTCTGAGGAGCCTTGGCTGTCCTGGAACTAGCTTTGTAGACCAAGCTGGTCTTGAACACATAGAGATCTGCCTTTCTCCACTCCTGAGTGTTGGGATTAAAGGCGTGTGCCACCATCGCCCACCCAGTTTTAGAAAGTTCTATTACTATTCTTTCCTCTTGTTAATAACATGATAAATCAAATCAAATCTTAGACATTTTTCTTTGTTCTTCAGAATCAAAGTTGATATCAATCATTAGAAACACAGACTTATTTGCTTGAAGACATTCACACAGTCAACATATACAATGCAGAATAGGACACAATAAAGTTATTTTATGGTTGGCAATTCTCCAGCTGGGGATAAAGCTCAGTCAGTGGTAGACACTTCTCAATTAGGGGCAAGGTAGAATGGATTCAATGCCCAGCATCACCACCACCACCAACAACAACAAAAGAGGTAATTTCCTAGTGCACTGAAGATTTTCGATAGTAATGCTGCCTTGTTTTACGTGACCATAAACCCACTAGGTATGATGGTGTATGGCTAAGGAAGGAGGTTCATAAATTCAAGAACAGTCTGGTCTGTACAATGAAACCTAGTTTCAAAACACAAAACATTTCATTTGTAAAAAATCAAAGGAACATGAAGGAAAGCAAGCACAATTTCCTTAAAACCATGAGACCTACGTTGGATGCTGCATCATCCTCCTCCTCTGAACTTCCATCCTCTGCATCACTTCATGAGGGTGAAGTCTCTGGGCTGGAGGTGCTGGGGCTGGAATATGGTGTGAAATCGGCTGGTGAGCTGGAGGAAGATGCTGAGGGATGGGTGCAGCTGTACTGCCTAAATGAGTTGGGGGCGGGGGCGCCACAGGGTGAGATGCTGCATGAGAAGATATCTGAGAATGGAAAGCATGTACGGGATGAGGAATAACATAATCCACTTGAGGGGGAGGCTGAGTCTGAGGAGGTGCATTTCCATGAGAGTGAGGGCAACCCGAGGCTTGATGGTGCAGTGGTCTTGTTAAGGAAGCATCTGCAAGAAAAGTGTTTCCTGTCAATACATATAGAACTACTTCATTAACAGCATTACAATGTACAACAATCTATTATGAGACTGAACTAAAATTTCTGGGAAAAATACCCTGATAAAAACTGATAAATGCTGATATGACATCCCTATGTGTTGTTCCTTCTTCCTCCCTCCCCACATGCACACACTCTCAGACCATTTCTACAGCAAAATGTATGAATTTTATACCAGAAAAAATTACCTTAAGTACAGACAGCTGGTGATAAAACACCCTTCCTAAAGGTTACCATAATTAATATACTCATCTATAAGACACAGGTATAAACTGACCTCACATAATCAACCTAATGTTTAATAAAAGATTTAATTTCCATTATTTTTACTTAGACATGTGGTGTGTGTGTGTCTTTGTGACTGCTGTATGTTTAGGTGCCTATGGAGGCCTGAAATGGGGCACTGGAATTCCTGGAGCTGGAGCTACATTATAGGTGGTCGTGGGTGCTAGGAACCAAACTTGAGTCCTCTGGTGGAAGAACAGTATACATTCTTAACCATCACTCTAGGCCCCTAAATGTTTTGTTTTTCAAGACAGGGTTTCTCTGTGTAGCCCTGACTGTCCTAGAACTCACTCTGTAGACTAGGCTGGGCTCTAACTTGGAGATCTGCCTACCTCTGCCGCCTGAGTGCAGGGCCTAAAATTTTTAAGTAAATATGAGGGGTTGTAGAGATGGCTCAGAGAACCAGGGTTCAATTCCTAGCATCTATATGGCAGCTCACAACTGTCTGTAATTTCAGTTCCAGGGGATCCGGCATCATCACACAGACATACAGGCAAAACACCAATGCACACTTAAAAGGTAAATATGATAAGAAAAATAATTTATTTTCTAATCACTTGCTATTTTCCCCCAGAATTATTGATTTGTATTCTTAGACTGTTTATTTGGCATTATCTTACTTATTTAAAGTACTATTTGTCTTTGTGGAAATTTTGTAATTAAAAGTATAGACATTTTTCTAAATTCTCTTTATTCTCCTATCAAATGAGTTTTTGCTTTTTCGTAGCCAGTTGTCCTGTCTAGAAACAGGACACGACAATACAAATGAAAATGTTTTTCCCATTAATTATAACTTTTTGTTTGTTGTTTTTTGATATAGTGCCTTGCTACATAATCCAAACTGACTTCAAACTTGCAACCTTCCCACCTCGGCCTCCTGTGTGCTCCAATTCAAGCATGCAGCTACTTCCTAAACATGTATCACTTCCCTTAATGATTTACTGTCAGAGTGCTGTACAGAGGAAAAGGAATCTCAGTCCCCTAAACACGAGTGTGAAACACTTCTATTGTTGCCCTTGCCTTCCACACCTCATGTCACCTGTGCTACAGACAGATAAGGCATGTAGGTCAGGAAAACACCACAGAGTAAGCCCTTAACAAGATGCTTTCTCTCATATCTTCAATAAAAATCTTTACATTTCAAAGTCATAGTTGAAATACTCATCTCTCTTACCAAGAAACCTGCATCTACTTGACATTAAAAAAAAAAAAAGTCAATCTATGCAGAATGTGCAATCTACAATCTCAGCTCCTAGAAAGGTGAGACTGAGGAAGGAGAATCTTAAATTCAAAGAAAGCTGATCAATACAGTGAAAAAAGAGAAAAAAAAAACCCAGAAATAAGAAACCTTGGATTTTACTCCAAACTTCATTTCATTGGAAAGTGTGTGTGTGTGTTGTGTGTGTGTGTTGTGTGTTGTGTTTCAAGACAGGGATTCTCTGTATAGCCATGGTTGTCTGGAACTTGTTCTGTAGATCAGGCTGGCCTCAAACTTACAGAGCTCCACCTGTCTCTGCTTCCCAATTGCTGGGATTAAAGGTATGCACCACCATGCCCAGCAGAACAGTATTCTTTAGTGAGTTTGTCTGCACATTTTTGTGGGTATGCACACATGGACACACTAGAGTGTGTATGTAAGCCAAAGTTTGACATCAAGTGTAATTCTTACTAACTTTTGTGCTAGCTAGTTTTATATCAACTTGACACAAGCTAGCGTTATCTAAAAGGAGGAAACCTCAATTGAGAAAATGCCTACCTAAGATCGGGCTGTAGGGCATCTTTTAAACTAGGGGGAGGATGCAGCCGATTGTGGGTGGTGCCATCCCTGGGCTGGTGGTCCTGAGTTCTATAAGAAGGTGGGCTGAGCAAGCCAGGGGAAGCAAGCCAGTAAGCAGCACTCTTCCATGGCCTCTGCATTAGCTCCTGTCTTCAGGTTTCTGTACTGTTTGAGTTGCAGTCCTGACTTCCTTCAGTGATGGACTATGATGTGCAAGGATAAGTCAAATAAATCCTTTCCCCCTAAAGTTGCTTTTGGTCATGGTGTTTCATTACAGCCATAGAAACCCTAAATAGGACAATTCTATTTGTTGAGAGGTTTTCACATTCGGAAGTGGGGTTCATTGATTCAGTGCATTTAAGTATGTTGGCCAATGAACCTTATCTTCCAGCACTTGGATTACAAGCACATGTCACTATACTAAGCTTTCCATGAGTTCTGGAAATAGAACTCAGGTCCTCATGCTTGCATGGTAAGCACTTTACTGACAGCCCTCTCCTAATCCATCATTTGAGGATGATATAGTGATCTAGTTTGGAGGTATAGTTACCTTATAGTTTATTAACAGAGGACTACCTTCAAGTCACCTTTTAATTGAATTTTTAAAAATTTATTTGTATTTTATATACACTGGTGTTTTGCCTGCATGTATGTCTGTGTGAGAGTGTCAGATCCCCTGGAGTTATAGACAGTTAGTTTTGAGCTGCCATGTGGGTGCTGAGAATTGAACCCAGGCCCTCTAGAAGACCAGCTCTTAATAGTTGTGCCATCTCTCCAAGTTATTATTTTTTTTAACCCATAAAACTCTATTTATTTATTTGTGTCAGTGGGCACACCCGAGCGCATATGTGTGGAGGGCAAAGGAACACTTGGTTATATTATTCCACCTTTTATTTATTTGGTTATCTTCTTCCACCATTTACTTATTTGTTAGTTTGAGATAGAGTAGGGTCTTGCTATGTAGCCTGACCTTGAATTCACAGAAATCTACCTGCCTCTGCCTCTGGAGTGGTGGTACTCCCAAAATGGTTTATAATTTTTAAAACTATTTTGTTTGCCCACCTTCACTTTTCAAACAATTTTTCTAAAAGTCTTTTTATTAAATCAATGCTTTGTTCTTCAAGAGGGCACACAGCTCCAGAACTCAGATGACAAAGAAGTCACTTGTTACATTATTTCTAATTCCTAATCACCTTTCTCCAACTCACACCAAGCATCTTTCAGAGCTTTCCAACACCGCACTCACGAGTTTCACAAAGTCACAGTTCTGTTTTTGAATGGGTCCCCTTAACTCTTCAGTGAGCATTCTAAGAGGCAACTTATGTAACAAGCACAGACTGGCACTATACAGGCCACTTGCTCTTCATTCCCATTCCTTTTCAGTCACTTTTAATTATGTTTTGGTTTGGCTTCTCATCACAGGGTCTCACTAGGTAGCCCAGAATGGTCTCAACCTTAAGATATTATTCTGTCTCAACCTCTGAAGTGCTATGATTACAGTCATGTGCCACAATGTCCAGCAGTTTTTGTTCTTTTTTTAAAAATATTTATTTATTTATTATGTATACAATATTCTGTCTGTGTGTATGTCTGCAGGCCAGAAGAGGGCACCAGACCTCATTACAGATGGTTGTGAGCCACCATGTGGTTGCCGGAAATTGAACTCAGGACCTTTGGAAGAGCAGGCAATGCTCTTAACCACTGAGCCATCTCTCCAGCCCCAGTTTTTGTTCTTTTTGAAGCAGAAGAAAAGTTTTGCTCTGTGGCCCAGCTTGGCCTTAACCTCCCAATTACCCTGCCTCCAACTCTAAGTGCTGGCATTGTGAGCATGCACCACCATAGTCCATCTTCCGTTGGAAGTTTATGGGTGTTCTCACCAATGAGAAAAATCTGTTTAAGTATATAGATGCCTATCAATTACATATTAAAATTTAATTTCCTTTTGAAATTGCTTCCTAAAAGCTCCACTTGCCACAGAGAAGGGAAGCTTCTTCAAGCTGCGGTGGCACTAACAATGGATACCCAGAAAGACATTCAATTCCCAAAGCAGTAGTCAATGATATACTTGTGACACACTGGAAATGAAGTAAAATCCAAGGATCCAATGAGATGGAGAGAATGTAGATGCAGAACAAAGTTCAAGAGAAAGACTAAAAATTGGCTGTTTGGTTTTATTTAGGTTTTTCAAGACAGGTTCTCTGTGTAACAGCTCCAGCTGTCCTGAAACTCGCTGTATACAGAGTTTCTATAGTTTATATGGGCTAACCTCGAATTCAAAGAAATCCGCCTGCCTCTGCTTTCCTAATGCTGAAATTAAAAACATGTGCCACAGCTGCCCAGTCTGATTGGTGGGTTCTGATGCTCAATGAAACATGGGAAATCAGGAGAATTTTTATTCGTGTTTACATTTGCCCCACTGATGTTTCTTTTATTGTATAGCTTTTCACTTAGCTTATTTATGAATACAACACTTTACCTACAGAACCTTGTAGAAATGCAATTATACTCTGCATAAAAGAAACTTTGGTTAAAAAAAAACAGATCTACTTGTCACTTAATAGTATGAAAACTGCTTAACTTTGTATTTACTACACCAAGTATTTGTTAAGCTTCAACGTCATAATTAGTTAATCAAAGTACTGTTACATAGCCCAAGGAGAGTTATCAATTTCAAGCTATCTAATGGATTCCAATTTCCTTACAGTTGCCATGCCTATTAGTTGCAGTTGCTCATAACAAATAAATATACAATTCTTTTTCCAAATAGAAAGGCATTGTCACAGCCCTCTCTTATGCCTTAGTTAACTCAGAATTCTATGAATAAAATTTGAGATTTTTGAATAAAATTTCCTTTATTGCGCCTAGAAATATTACAAAACTTTCACATTTCTTCTGTTACTCTTAAAAACTAAAGTCAAATACTTTAAAACTTCCTTGCTTATGAATATACAGTGCCACTCAATACATCAATACATCTCAACTTCACAGACAACTGTATGGAAAAAGTATTCCCATTCTTTTTTATTATTATTATTTTTTAAAGATTTATTTATTATGTATACAGTGTTCTGCCTGCAGGCCAGAAGAGGGCACCAGATCTCATTATAGATGGGTGTGAGTCATCATGTGGATGATGGGAATTGAACTCAGGACCTCTGGAAGAACAGTCAGTGCTCTTAACCTCTGAGCCATCTCTCTCCAGCCCAGTAATTCCCATTCTTTTTTTTTTTTAATAAAATATTTATTTATTATGTATACAATATTCTGTCTGTGTATATGCCTGCAGGCCAGAAGAGGGCACCAGACCTCATTACAGATGGTTGTGCGCCACCATGTGGTTGCTGGGAATTGAACTCAGGACCTTTGGAAGAGCAGGCACTGCTCTTAACCTCTGAGCCATCTCTCCAGCCCAGTAATTCCCATTCTTAAGCCAAATAAATTACAAACTATGATTACTCTAATTCCATGGAGGAATTAAGGCTCATTTACATACTCTTTCTTTGCCCATAAAATTCATACTTACAAGGAGGTGGCATATAATGCCGACATGATGAGAGAGAAGGCTGTGGAGGTGGTTGGGGCTGGGGCTGCGCAACCATGCTTGAACCATAGCCATCTATTGCTAAAGGCTGAGTCGGGGCAGCAGCAGCCTGGTGGCCAAAAACTGCAGCTCGGGAAGAAGAAACAGGACAGCAGGGGTCGAAGGCAGATGCACCATGGAAACCCCCACTTCCATGAGTCCTGAGAGCGCTGCTGCTCAGATCAACTGGCAATGCCTGCTGGGTAAAGAACCATTAGAGTTTACTTTTCTAAAGTTTTATAAAAATATCATTTTATGTCACATGACAAAATATCCCTGGTGCTCTCTAGGAAAACAAGATATTCAAATAAATTTGGAAATGGTAATTCTCTGTATGAGAAAAATCAAACACAAAGACAATACTATACAAAGCCTAAACTTTAAAATTAGCATTTTTACACATAGAATGTGAAATCAGCTCTATTTAAATGAAGTATAAGATACAAGAAAAATATTTAGCTAATATGTTATTGTATGATTTTTTTGGGTTGAAGAGATAGCTCACTGGCTAAAAACACAATACTTTTGTAGAAGACCTAGGTTTGATTCCCAGCCCCCACAGTAAGTAGTTCCCAACTACCTGAAAACTCTAGTTCCAGAGGATCTGATGCTCCTTTTATGACCTCCCTGAACATCTGCATGAATGTGGTACACAGAGACAAGTAGGAATATACACATAAACATAAAATAATTTGAAAAAGTTTAAAAGATTTATTTATCTTACATTATGCACAACTGAGACCAAAAGAAAAGAGGGTTTGAAAGCAGACCTGCTTTCCTCTAACACTCTAATCAGAGCTTTAGTGCTCCTTGAACAGTATGCTGGCTATTAGAACAACCTGTGCGTCCAAACTTTTTATAAAATGAATATTTTATAACATTCAACTAAAACTCTTACAGAGAGAGAGAGAGAAAGAGAGAGAAAGAGAGAGAGGCATGGTGGTACTTAGGAGACAGAGGCAGGAGGATCTCTGTAAGTTAGAAGTCAGTCTGATCTACATAGTGAGTTAGGAAAAGTTAACATTTTCTCCCCTCAAAGCACGTGACTTAAAAAGTCCTAAGTACACACTAGGGTAACTTTCACTAAAAACAATGAGTAGCTCAGAATAACTACAAAAGTCTTAAGTTCCCTACATAGAAATGATGACTGTTTGTGATGGACATGCAGGCTATTCTGTTGACCACCATGCATTATACACATGTATCAAATTACCACATAGAGGAATATACACAACTATGTGCTAGTTAAAACCGTAAATAATCACTGGACAATAGTGGTATACACTTTTAATCCCAGCACTCTGCAGGCAGAGACAGGCAAATCTGGGAGATCGAGGCCAGCCTGGTCTACAAAGTGAGTTCCAGGATAGCCAAAGCTACACAAAGAAACATTGTCTCTAAAAAACAACTTCTCCCCAAATAAAATCCCAAGCAAATACTAGGATCTTATTCTAAAGCAAATTCTAAAGCAAGAATTGCCTTTTATTTTTCCCCAATTCTTAAGTAATTTAAAGATGTTGTCTACCAGTTAAGCTCAGTACACTTATAGCTTTCCAAAGAAAGTAAAGCCAGGTATGGTTAATATACCTGTCACCGAGCCGACACACTGTCGATTTTATCTCCAAAGAGTCACATGTGGCTAGGAAGTTATGAGTTTGATTTCTCCAGAAACCACATGACAAGTTAAGTGCACACCCATAACCTCAGCCCTGGAGAGGCAGAAAGGGTGATTCTGGGGTTCATACTATTAGTACCAGACTGTTAAACATAAGACAACTGTGAACTAAGCCAACCTTTCCTTTAAAACAGTGGTTCTCACCTTCCTAGTGCTACTACCCTTTAATACAGTTCCTCATGTTGTGGTAACCCCCAACTATAAAATTACTTTTATTGCTACTTCAAAACTATAATTTTGCTACTGCTAGGAATCTGTGTTTTCTGATGGTCTCAGGCAACCCCTGTGAAAGCGTCGTCCTACTCCCACCCCGACCTCACACAGGGGTCATGACACACAAATTGAGAAACACTGCTCTAAAGTGAACAGAATTGTAGTAATTTAAACTTTCTATAAACCAAGATTTAATTTAAAAATTCACAATAAATTGGTCCCTTTTAGCACTCAAGTATATGAGTTATAGACATACTCACCTTGACAGCACCACACACACATCACTGGGAACTCTTTCTAAAGGCAACACAAGTGTGTGTGTGTGTGTGTGTGTGTGCGCGCGCGCGCAGAGAGAGAGAAAGAGAGAACTCTGAGGAAATTATGCGTAAAACTCACACACCTGGTCATGGTAGCTGGAACCAGAGCTGCTATTTGCACCACAAGGAGCCTGTACTTGAGGAGGTCTTTCCACAGGACAAGCGGGATCACTGAAGGAAGGAGAAACTGGGACTGCTGGGTGGGCAGTATGGTGGTGGTGGTGATGATGCTGAAAATGGTGGCCATGTTGCTGAAAACAACTTGCGTGAGGATGTGCTAATGCATGGTGACCCTGTGAAGTCCCTCCGCATGGCGAGTGCTGAGGACAGCAGGAAGGGAGCCTTGGCATGGCAGGAGGGCCCGTTTCCGGAACAGCACTGGATGTAGTTCTCCTCGAGTCATCTTAAAGAGAAACAAAAGCAAATCATGATCAAATACTACTTCACAAAAATAAGTACTGTGTATTAATCTGTAAGTAAGAATTTAATGTGACAGTAGGCTGGGACATTCATTAGAGAATTAACAGACTTGCTGCTTAAGTCTGACCATCTGAGTTATATCCCTGGGACCTACACAGTGGAAGAAGAGAAGACTACCTCAAGTTGTCATCTGAATTGTATGCACACACACATACACAAAATGAATCAATTGATGTAACTTTTAAAATAAATATGAATGTGATGGTGCCATATGCTTAACATACAGAGTATGCAACTCTGTGTAGTCTCCACTATGACTTTTCTGAAAATACAAATTCTTCAGAGGGTGCATATGTATCATGATGTATAAATCTGACAAGAGATTATCTTTTTTTAATACCTGTTCATCAATAAATTTTCAGAAATATCATGTGAATTCTTATACTTTATGCTACAAAGGAAAAGATCTTCTGAATCCCTCCAGCCAGTATTACCAATCACTTTCCCACATTGCAGACTGTTGGGTACATTTACCTGTGCTTGAGGCCATCCACCTCAGTGAACGAATATCTGATTGGACCACTATCTGCCAATCTTTTCATTTGCTTATTTTTATAATCCTATTATTATTATTACTATTTTTATTATGTGTTCTATAGTGGAGGGGGCACATGCCATATATAGAATGCTAGAATGAAGATTGGTCTTATCTTAGTGGGAGAAAAACACCTGATAACACAGTATCAACTCAATGACTATTTGCTGAACATATAAATACAACAGATGGGAGGCATAATTCAAGCACATGCACAGGGTACAGAAGTGAGCTGTGTTGAGTATGCTAAGTTTGAAGGTGACCCCTGAATGGTCCAGGGGAGAGGTCTAAGAATGGTTAGATACAAAGTTTAAAACAAGGAAAATGGTGTGTTTTTTTTTTTAAAAAAAAGAAAAAAAATCACAATGAAAGTCATCAGCTTCCTGGTGATGAGTGTAAACAATACAATTCTGGAACAGGAGGGCTAAGGAAAGGCCTGAGAAGAAGACAAGAAGATTGTCACCAGACGTAATGTGTGTGCTTAGTCACTCTAGGTGAATGCACTTGTCACTGAGTCTGAGGACCTGTGTTTAATTCCTGGACCCCATACTGTGAAGAGAACTGACTTCACCAAGTTGCCCTGTGACTTCCACATTCACTATGCACGTGCACACACATACACACACAATATAGAAAAGTAAATATTTTAGTAATAAAGGAAAAAACATAGAATGGAAACAACTCATATTAAGTACACACAGACAACTCAGGAGTACCTGTACAGGTACTAGGAAATGGAACTGGTGAAGATTTCGAAGACAAAGGGAACATAATGCTCTGTCTCACAGACTTGACTTGAGATTCTAACAGACAGTGGATTAGTAGTGGATCAGGCACTTGGAAAGAACTGCAGGCATGAAGACAAAGGCTTTTACAAAGGCTAACATCAGGTGCTGTAGGAGCACATTCCCGAGAATTTTGTTCTTTAATTTCCTTCCCTAGGGGAATGAAAGCCCTGAGAAAAAGGAAAGAGTTTTAGAAAATTGTGGAGGGGAAAGAAAGAGAACCAAGGTGACACCGAGGTGAGTTACCAACAGACTACTTTGAGGGACACAGCACTTGTGGGGGTAGCAGCCTTCATGGCACCTGGCTATCACCATTTAGGAATTTGGATATGAGTCTAATTAACTGGCTTAAGTGATTCAAGGTTGAAAATCTGTATAAAATAGGTAAAAACATGGGAAGTAGAAATTGAAATGACATTCCCATCAGGTTTCTGCAGAACAATTTGTCCTGGGACAAATATCTGTCTCAAAAATGGCAAGTATAGTCTAATATCAAAAGGAACTTTCAGAGACTACGGTGAAGTTAATACCTAAAAAATGAAACATTTAGAAAGTACTAAAACAAATAGTCATACATAATACATGAACAAAAGCTATAGCTGGGCAGTAGTGGTGGCCTTTAATCCCAGCACTTGGGAAGCAGCAGAGGCAGGCAGATCTCGTTGAGTTCAAAACCAGCCTGTTGTACAAACTGAGTGTGATATAGATATGAATAATTTGCATTGGTATGGATTTTGCTTTATTAATATAAATTTAAGGTCAATCCTGTTATATGTATATTTCTGCTCTTGATTAAGGTATTGTGACTGTGTAGATCATTTAAAAATGTAATGTATAATTAGGAAATATAGGTTGTTAATGTATAATCACCGATAATAGTCAAGCTTGTAGTCATGTTAGATTTTCTAGATATATAGAGATATATTTCAGTTAGATAGGCAATCTTCATATCTTTCAAAGACTACAGAATATGGCATTTAAAATGTTGTGATAACTTAGGGTTTTTCATGACAATGAGACACATCTGCATCTGGCAGCACCAGCTACTTCCAGAGGAAGATGGGCATCGAAGAAGCTCCTTATGGAACTGGTTAGCTATTTGGGCAAGAAACTGCTCTCGCCTAGACTGATGCACAAACTGGACATTAAGAACCCACAGAAAATGACTGCTAAACTTACCTAAAGGTGAGCTGATTCTTTGGGATTCCTGTTTCATGAAAGAGTCTGCGTGACATTCTACAGAACACAGAAGAAAGTGACTGAACTGTCATTAAAATTTCCTGCTTCATGGAAATGTCTGCTGAGTACTATGGGCCTGTAGGCTGAAGATGGATGCCCCAACAGTACAGAATAACTTTGGGTGACTGTTCAGGCAGCGAGATGTCTCTGTCATTTCTAGAGTTTTGGAAGTTGCTTACTTCTTGTTTCCATAGGTAATATTATATCCTTCTGGAGTCTTTGATGGAGTTGAAGAATGGATAGTTATTATTATAGTTTTCCTTTGTTAAGATAAAAGATAAAATAGATATAAATACTGTAACTGTAGTTCTTGCTTGATAACTGTTTTGTTATATGTAATTTTACTATGTTAAAGTTAAAGCCTTCCTTTTTATTTAAACAGAAAAAGGGGAAATGGTGTAGGAGGTTCTTCTTTTATGTGTTGCTTTCACTGGCTGAATAAAGAAACTGCCTTGGCCTTTTGATAGGGCAGCACTTAGGTAGGCAGAGTAGATAGAACTGAATGCTGGGAAGAAGGGCAGAGTGGTAGAGTGGCAGACGCCATGAATCTCCTGTCTGAGACTGACGTAGGTTAGAATCTTGCTGGCAAGTCACAATCACATAGTGATACACAGATTTAATAGAAATGGATTAATCAAGATGTGAGAGTTAACCAATAAGAGGCTAGAGCTAATGGGCCAGGCAGTGATTTAATTTAATTAATACAATTTCTGTGTGATTATTTCAGGGGTTAAGCTAGCTGGGCAGCCAGGATAACAAGCAGCCGGCTCCTCCTGTTACATGAGTGAGATCTTAGGACAGCCAAAGCTGTTACGCAGAGAAACCCTGCCACAAAAAAAAAAAAAACTAAATAAAAAAGAAATTAATTAATTAATTAAAGCTTAAGGTGATAATGAAATGGAGGTAGGAATATGACTACGAACACTACTAGAGAGAAGTGAATAAAAAAAATGCTACTGATCCCAATCAAAATATTTAACTTTGAGATTTCATATAAAATTGAGAAATGCAATGTCAATACCAAGGCATTTTTAAGTACTAATGATAACATAAAATCATATAAAAGAAAAGAAAAAAAATAACCTAAGAGGGGCTAGAGCAATAGCTCATGGGTTAAGAATTCTGACTGGTCTTTTAGAAGACCCAGGAATGGTTCCCAGCATCCACTTGGCAACTCACAACTGTCTATAACTTCAGTTTCAGGAGGTCTAATGACCTCTTCTGGTCTCCATGGGCACCAGGTAAACATGTGGTGATAGGCATACATGCAGGACAAACACTCAAACACATTTTTTTAAGATATGGCTTCATATATATATATATTCAAGTAAAATATGCACTCAATAAATTAAAGTCCATTTTGCTTCTGCCTACATTTCTTTTCAGAGAACATGAATTATGAAAGACATCCTTGGGAAATCTCTCCATGGATAGTTCTCAATTCTGTTTTCAATTTTCCAGAAAAGAAAGTCTTACTGAATCTAGCCATTAAGTAATTTTCCAGACTACTCAATGAAACTCACAGAGATGTTATCAGAAAAGCAAAATGTATTTTACATCATAAAGTATTCTCATTAAAAATTGTGATATAGTCAATTTATGAGCTACAGCATCTATTGATTTTTCCTTAATAGAAAACTTCTGTTTGTACCACTGTCTATGACACACATCAAGCTGCCTTAAGCAAGCAAGAGAGCTAGCAGTAGAACTGCTAACTGAAACACAAGAAATACTATGATCAGAAATAAAAAATAACAAAACTTTAGGCTGGGTATACAGCTCAGCGATAGAAAACAGTATATTTGAAATCCTGGGCTCAAGCCAAACAAACAGGAAAGAGTTCTTTCTGACCTTTGGGTTAAGTAATGTTTCTTATTGTCAGAAGAACGAGGGGCAACAAATGACATCACTGAAACCTTGAAAACTATCCCCATCTTAATTTCAGAATATGCCTAGGAGTATAACTGCTGGGCTACTAGGGAACTCTGATTAACTTCAAGAGGAACAGTCAGGGTTTTCACAGCAGCTGTATCTTCCTGCATTCCTCCAGCATGTCACCAGAGTTCCAATTTCTTTACCTATGACCCGTTCTGGTGACTCTCTTTCTGTTTGTTCTTTTTAAATTATGGACACCTGTGTAGGTGTGATGTAACCATGTAGTCAACATTGATTTAATCTCATATCATTAATCAACTGCGCATGAGATTCATTGTTCACTGACCTTTGTAAACTATCTGTTCAAATCCTTAGTCTATTTTAAAATTAGGTTATTTTATTTTTATTATTTAATGGTTCTTTATGTGTTCTGGGAACTAGAACCCTTATGAGACATGACTGACAAATAATTTTTCTTATATTCTATGGACTTTCACTTTCTTGATATTACTTTGATACACAAGCTTTAACTTTTGATGAAATTCAATTTATCTACCTTCTGCTTTGCTGTCCATGAGTTCCCTATCAACCACCTGGTTTTCCTCAAGTTCTCTTAGTTGAGCTAAACTATTTTGGTGAGATACAACACATTAAATTCAAGTACTAAATCACAGTGTAATTATAATACACAATGATTTGCTCACAGGAGTACCTCACAGTCTAAAAATACACTCAGCGACACTGTGAAAGAGTACCAACATTCTTACATACCGCCCACAGAAGAACCAGCCACACTATTGCTTGTGAGAGTAGCTGCAGTCTCTGACACTGTGGAAGGCTGGCTAGTGGCCACAGCTGAAGTAGCATCAGAGGCTTGCTCAGAGGTAGATGGATTGGAATTGCTAATGGAAGCGCTAGTAGTTTGTGATTCCATTCTGGCAGAAGTGGTTGGTACTACAGTAGGTTCTACAAAACACAAAATATCAACTTAGCTTTTCACAGCAGATTAAAGAATGGATTTTAATTTGAATTAGTAACTTATTTTTCCTGTTTGAGACAGTCTCTTGCTATACATAGCGAGGCTGGTCTTAGAATTCCTCTATTATGGCGTGTCAAGTGTTGGTTATAGGAACATTCCCCACACCTGAACAAGTTAATGCCACTATGATAATGACTAAATTAAAGATACAAGCATTAAGAACAAACCTCCTAGTAAGTATAACACACAGTAAAGAAAGCTTTCATGAAACTTCACTGCAACATCAAACCGAAATGTCACTGAAAGATAAGAACTATATTTAAAAACCCCAACGTGTGCTTACATAATCTAGTTAAACAGATATTCAAAGCTTTCTAGTAGGACTAGGAGTGTATGTTAGTGGTAAAGTGCTTGCCTAGTATGTGTGCGGCTCTAGGTTTGATCCCTAGAACTAAGAGAAAAAAAAGTTTCCATTACCTAAGTTTTCTGGTCTATTTGTATCACAAGAAAAGAGTGAGAGCGAAGTCCAAGTTCCACTGCTGGGCCACGTGATCAGACTATCAAACCATCAAGTGCACTCTCTGGCACAGCATAATCCCAAGATCAGGCTGCCCAGCCAGTGCTTCTGATTTGACCACAGCATGACAACACTGTTATTAACCACTTTCCATGTCCTCACCAGGAAAACTAAGAAGGCAACAGGTGTTTCTGCAAAGAACTATTAGGACAAAATGTGATCGTCTATAATGCACCTCATTATCACCCTTTATACACAGAAACCATTTTTATAGCATTAGTTATAACTTTTAATATTTATGTTGATGTCTTTACTGCTGCAAGATTTTATAAATGTAAATGAATATAAAGATTTTAAGAGTGGTAACACTGATTAATACTTTCTTTCTCATAAAAATTAAATTATGAATGAGGTAAACTTCAAATATCTGATAACAAAATGATCATTTAAGATATTTTATCAAATTCTCTTCATAACCCAGCAGCTACAACTCCAACTTACCATCTTCATCAACAGTAAGGTCCACAACTTCTGCTGCGTTCTGCCTCAGGGGCTGTATAACAGTAGAGATCCTACTGCGGTTTCGAGGCTCCTGTGGCCGACCTGTATGCGAACTTGAACCTTGGCTCCAATGAGATCTGGAGTGCCCAAGGGTGGAACGAGACCTTAAATGATGTCAACATCAAGTTAGCAAATATAAATGAAGGATGGATTTTTTTTCAGTCGCTCTAAAACTCCACAAGCTTTTCTTATAAATCACTTAAGTTCTTCATACAAGACTTCTCCCAAGAAATAACAGTCACTAAATTAAAAACAATGACTAATGCAATGTCAGGCACTCAATAAACTGCTGAATGAAGGTGTCACCAACAAGATGACCAAAGCAGACAAGAGATGCTGCTATCAGATCAACCATTCAAGTATATGAAAAGATCAGAACGTTGTTCTTAAACTACTGCTTTGAATATTCACTTGGATTATAAATATTACCATAAATGCTAAGGAATGTGCCGAGGTATTCATTATAATAAAGGAACACACAAACAAATCCCAAATATGATACACACAGTCATGTTTGTATAATCATGTCTCAGGTTAGGTTTGTAAAATTTAACCTTGGGAACCCTGTGCCAAGCCAAGCTTCTGGTTCTATCCTAACATAATACACAGAAGACAGCAGAGAGAGTTCTTGGAGTTGGCAGAGATGAAGTCACTAGCTAGTCTATGAGCTTGTGAGTCACAAAAAGCATTACTTGTATAAACTACTTTAAGCATTGACTCTGAATATTTCTGAATGACTGAAATACCTTAAGTGAATGGCATTCCCAATCCCTCACAGGCATTTAGATGTTTTTTAAGGATTCAAAATATGATGAATATTCAAATGTTCAAAACAATATGACGAAAGAGTATTTAGGGATGGTGAAAATATTCTTACCCTACCGAAGGCTTCAGTGAAACAAGTAAATCTGTTTTGTTCTTTTATTTTTTGTTGTAGTCTAGCCTTTAACGGTTAAGCCATCCCTCCAGGCCTGAATCTGTCTTTGCAAAATGAGGCAAATTGTTGGGTGTTGGTAGCACGAGCCTTTAACCCCAGCAGTTGGGATACAGACAGGTGGACCTATGTGAGTTCAAGGCCATCCTGGTCTTCAGAGTGAGCTCCAGCATAGCCAGGGCTATGCAGAAAAACTGTCTCAATAAATAAACGAGAGGGGGTGGGGACAGAGACAGACATAGAAGGGAGGGCAAATAAACCAAGTTGCTATGGGGTTTGTATTTTCCATTTGCTCAGAAAAAGTGTAAAACTACACGTATTGTAAGTTTATCATCAGCATGTATGGCAAACATGAGCCAGATCCACTAATATGCAAGGTTAAGCAGGGGTGTCACCATTAAGAAAAAAATATCAAATTTAAAGTGGGCTAAACCGTCCTTAACAATGCTAGAGTCCACAAGTTGAAAAATAAATTCAAGACCTAAAATTCTGAAAAGACAGGAATACAAAAGGCAATTCCTAAGACAAGCTAACCAAAGACAATGCATAGCATATGAGAAAGCATTGCACATTATGAATCATCATTATAAACAAATCTAAAGCAAAATGATATATGAGGACAAATATCTCCATTAAATGTTTTTGAGAAAGGACTAGAGAAAAGGCTCAGTGGTTAAGAGAACTTGTTGTTTTTGCAGAGGATCAGAATTTGGTTCCTAGCATTCACATCAGGTGCCTCACAACTATTTGTAATTCCATTTCCAAAGGAATTGACATTCTCTTCTGGCCTGAGTACCTGAGTAAAGTGCACATACTCATACACATACACACACACACACACACACAAATAAAATAATCTTAGAGCTGGAGAGATGGCTTAAAAATTAAAAGCACTCCTTGTTCTTGTAGAGAACCCTAATTCTAATACCAGCATCTACACGGTTGCTCACAGCAACTCTAGTTCTAGGGGATCAAACATCCTCTCCTGATTTATGAGGGCATTAGGCACACACATGATGCCCATAAAAACATGCAGACAAAATACACATATAAAATGAATGTAAAAAATAAAAATAACCTAAGTTAAAAAAAATTAAGAAACAATTACTGAGAAGCCTAGAATCTATGGTGAGTATGAAAGCCATCAATAGCAGGCAGCTCCACGCCTACCCCGACAGACAGACTATGGGACAGAGCTTAAGTCCAAACATAAGGTAACAATGTCACACAGGTCCTCAAGGCCACGATAACAGTGGCAACTGTCAAATCCTAACACGAAAGATTGAAAGAAGTATTCTCTTACACAGGAAGGGCCAAGAACCAGTCCAACCACGACAAACTGTACCTCAGAGAATAAAAGGAAACTACCTAAGGATCATGAGACTGGGTTCATTTCAAGATCACAGTTTCTTGAAGAAATGTTTCTGTTTGGTGAAAGCACCTCCAATTCCACAAGGAAAACAAGTCTTACTTTCTAATAATTGAGAGATAACACACAAAAACTGAATTGGAGCAGTGGCAGGATACTTGTGACAGCCTATGGCACACACTGTAGAGTGCAAATTTCCTCAGTTTGAAGAAATCACTTAGAATGCAATCTAGGGGATGAGACTGGAGAAATAACTGTTATTGACAGGGGACTGGCTGTTCTTATAAAGGACATGGGTTTGTCCTAGTGGCTCTCTGTAACTACAGTTCCAGGGAATCAAATGACATTTTTCAGCCTTGATTGGCACAGCACAAACATGTACACAGGCAAAAACTATACAAAAAATAATCCCCACATTTTAAAAATATTATTCTTTAAAAAAGAAAAAACCAAAACCAACTTTCCTGCCATGAGAAGCCATACTCTAATGGGAGTAGCAAGTAGAAAAGCATACACAATCCTCAAATGAACGTCTAAAGACATTCTAATATGAAAATTAATATTCACCCACAGACTAGTTTGGTGTATTAAATAAGCAATTCTTCACCACTAATATTTGGCATCATCTTAAACATAGGGTAAATAAAATATTTCTTTTCAGACAAGGGGCCATGGTGTCAGAAGTAATTCTACAAAAGAGGCATGGTATGTCCAGATATCTATCTAAACAAATGAGTTCTTTCTATTCACATATGCCTAAGTAATTGGCCAAGCAGTGATTTAAATAATACAGTTTCTGTGTGGTTATTTTGGAAGTCTGGGCAGCCGAAAAATTAACAAGCGACCTCCCTACTACACCATAACATAACAGCACAATTTTCATGCATATCAATGAGAACAATAAGCAAATAACAAGGGCTATTTTTATATAAATAAGTAAATTCAGAATTATACCCAATATTTATATATTACTCACAGCTAAACTCCACAGTTCATGAATTCCGGAGTTACAAATTAAACCCCATTTTTAAAAATATTCTGTAAAATTGCTTTTTATTTAGAGCAAATGGGGTAATGATAAAAATAGTATATCCCCTAAGACTCTAGCTCTTCTGGTAAGGGAAAGAATGTTTGCAACAGTGAGCTTTACTTTCTCCAGGTGAATTTAATGTAGCCTGGCTTTAAAACTAGTACTCTAGTAACAATTATAATCAAGCTGAGAATCTGGAAGGAATGGGTAACAAATATGTTAAAGTATCCACATTTAAAAGGTAGTATAAAGGGCTGAAGATATGGCTCAGAGGTTAAGAGCACTGGCTGCTCTTCCAGGTCCTTACAAGGTGGCTTAAAGCCATCTGCAATGAGATTTAGTGCCCTCTTCTGGCCTGCAGCATACACACAGACAGAACACTATATATATATATATATATATATATATATATATATATATATATATATATACACGCATATATATATACGCATATATATACATACATATATGCACACATATATATACACATATATACATACATATATACACATATATATACATATATATACATAAAATAAATTTTAAAAAAAGATTTTAAAAAGTTCAAGTATACAACTAGGAAAAAAAAACTTACCGATAGCTTTCTCCAACTGTAACAATCTCCACTTCACTGTCAGTTGAGGTAACATTAATTTCTTCATTGGCAGTGACCTGGGGAGTGAAGGAAGCTTCTATCACCACAACATCTTCATCAATACTTCCTGAAAACAAAAGGCAAACCCATTTAAGAGGCATATGTAGGCTAACCACTACACAAAAGTTTTATCTTGACCTTGAAAACTATTGACTTAATATGAAAATAATGGAGAGTTATACAACATTTCTTTTTTGTTGTTGAGGAGTCAACAGATGAGCCAAAAGAGTCAAAACTGCCACAACTTCAAAAACGTTAAGTGTAGGGCAAAAGACAGGAAAGGGAATAAGAGCAGCTGGTAGTGGGAGGTACTTGGGGTGGGAATGAGTTCCAAGTGTTGAGGGTGTGTAAAGAGCATAAGCTTGGAACTGGAACCACATTCCAAGAGCTCTCACTCAGTGTCTGCCATTCCTTCTACAGTTTTGAAGGAATCATAGGAAGCTGTGCCAATCAGGACACTGTATACAGCAGCAAGGAAAACTCCCAAGTAGAAAATGTTCACTTCTTACTCTCATAACGGTGACAGAAACCTTACTACCCACACAACTTAAGAGTTTTTAGCTAACATCTGTACTGGTAGGTGATTAAAATTAAGGCAGCGGGATTTTTTACTGTGAAGGCTGAGAAATGGAGTGTGGCATTTAAGAGCCATGGTCACTGTGGGCAAGCTCATCTGCACTGGGTAATTATTCCACTGCTGTGAAACAATCTCCTGCTCACCATGCAACGGAAAGACATCCTTCCCTTTCCCTCCCAACACCCCAGCTATCACCATTCTACTGTGCTTAAGAACTTGACTGTACAGGATAGCCAGGACTGTTTCACAGAGAAACATCGTCTCAAAGAAATCCAAAAAGGAGGAAAAAGAACTTGATTGTGTCAGATGACTTACATAGTTAGAATGATACACTGACTGTTTATGATTGGCTTCTTTTACTTTATAAAATACCCAACAGAAATCAAGAAATACACAGAGAGGGATTTTTACCCAGTTGTTCATGACAACATATTCACAAAAGCCAACCATGAGAAACAATTCAAATGTCATCAGCTGGATAAGGCATATGTGTATGAAGAAACAAGCAGAAACTGCTGGTCCAGGAATGAATCTCGAAACTTTATGCTGAGTCAGACAGCACATAGGATGGGCCTCATATTATGGTTCATCTAAACAAAACACCCAAACAAGGCAAATCTTATTTGGCAAAAAAGAAGAAAGGCTGCATGAGACTGAGGGGAGAAGCAGAAACAGAAAGTTAAAAAAGCAGGAGGCAGGCAACAGAATTGACAGAGAATGCTCTAAAGTTGCACTGTGGTCACAGTTTTACAGTTTAAGATTTAAAAAGCACATCTAAAGGAATTGACGTATAAATTACACCCAATAAAGCTGATGTTATTAAACACGAACACCTCCAAAGAATGCAAGAAACTCAATTCTTCAAGAGAGTGGAAATTTTTTAAATACAGAACTAAGTCACATCAATATTTCAGTTTCTTCTGAATTATAAGCCATTCTAAAATGATTCTCCAAATGTACCAGCTATAATTAGAAAGGCACAGGATTAAATGAGAGACATATAAAACTCTTAGAACTGCACTATGACTGGAGTTACTACCACCTTCACAACATCATCCATTGTTGAGAGCAGAGGAATTGGACACAACTTTCTTGGTAATGCTTGGCACAGCAGCTAATAACATTTTAGTATACATAAACTATGACACACTTTCAAATGCTATTCAGATATAATTACGCAGGTATGCAAGTTTATATTGCAAATATTCATCAAAAAGAGCTGGTTGAACTATGAAACATTCAAGCACAGGAACTGTACAATTGCTGAATAAGTAATTGTGCATGCTGATATGAAAAGACCTTCATTATTTATCTCTGCATATTTTCCTATCTTCTGCTGGAGAGAAACTTAACAGTTATTACTTCTGAGCACTAATTATGAGAACTCCGAAAATTTATTTTATGCTTTTTTTAAAAATTTATTTATTTATTTATTTATTATAAATACAATATTCTGTCTGTGTGTATGCCTGCAGGCCAGAAGAGGGCACCAGACCCCATTACAGATGGTTGTGAGGCACCATGTGGTTGTTGGGAATTGAACTCAGGACCTTTGGAAGAGCAGGCAATGCTCTTAACCTCTGAGCAATCTCTTCAGCCCCCTATTTTATGCTTTTTAGTGCTTTTATAATTCTGTATTGTGTGCATTAAACTTAATTTTACAGGAATAGGTGTTTTGCCATGGGATTAGAGTTATATACAGTTGTAAGTCTCGTGGGTACTAGGAATTGAACCTAGGTCCTCTATAAAGGAGTCAATGCTATTAATCACTGAACCATCTCTCCAGGCCTTATTTGTTCTGTTTCTGTTTAGAAAGCAAAACAAACAAAAAATAAAACAGAAAAAAAAAACCAAAACTATTTTAAAGTAATTTCCCTTGAAATGAAAAATGTAAGGGTTCATTTTGAACTTTTAGGATTTATGCTTCCCCTGATAAATGATTGATGTTTCAAATGTGATGCGGGAGAATTGTCTGTATTCTGTCAATCATATTTTAATAAAATGCTGATTGGCCAGGCAGGCAGTATAGGCAGGAAAGTCAGACAGGAAGTAGGGGTGGAACAAAGAGACTGGGAGTATTCTGGGAAAACAGGAAACTCCCTCTGCCACTCCTGCGCAGACCACCAAAGAGGCAGCATGTAACTTGCCCAGCTGAGAAAGGTACGGAGCCATGTGGCTAATGTAGATAAGGATAATGGGGTAACATAAGTTATAAGAGTTAACAAGAAGCCTGACCTAATGGGCCAATCAGTTTTATAATCTTATGGAGTTCTGTGTGTGATTTTTCCTTGGGAATTGCCAGCTGTGGGGTGCCGGGCAGGACAGAAACCCCAACAAGCTGGCCCCTCATGTTACACACATGCTTGTTTCTTTTTATTTTTATAGTGTGTGTATGAGTGCTCGTTTTATATGTATGCAAATATGTGACTGATGCCCAAGAAAGTCAAAAGAGGGCATTGGATCCCCTGGAACTATAATTACATACATTTGTGAGTCTACGTGGGTGCCTGGAATTGAACCCAGGTCATCACAACAGTAGCTTATGCTCTTACCCACTGAGCTGTAGCCCCTGGTGCTAATTTCCAAAAGCAATGTAGTTGAAGTAATTTACTACTACCAAGGCAGACAGGACATGAGTGCATCAATTAGCCAGGAAGAACAGCTGAGCATGCTCCCCATAAACACACTGGCGCTCACTTTCATTTCCTAAAACAAGCTCTTGAACTGAATGTCAAACCAATCATCCCACATCATGATTTAAAACAGACACTGGGCTCTGCTGCTCCTGCTCCCAGTGTCAAGAGTCTTAACATTCTGACCACATGAGAGAAATGTGACCAACTGAGTAAAACAACCCTGAGTACTTTCCTCTTTTCTGATACATGGAGGAAGGACGACCATGCAACTCTCCGGCAACACATGAGCTCAGTGGACACTTTTCAAAACACATTCAAGAATACCGAAAAAAAAAAATGAAACATGACAAAGAATAAACGCTGACTAAATAATATGGAAGAAGGAGGAGGAAAATGGAGGGAAATGACAGGTTTCAACAGTGAACTGAAGGCTTGAACCTTGGCAGGCTGAACATTATACAAAAAGGGAAAATTCTAGCCAAGTGGCGGTGGTGCACACCTTTAATCCCAGCACTCAGTAGGCAGAGATAGGCAGATCTCAGGGATTTCAATACCAGCCTAATCTACAAAGCAAATTTCAGGACAGCCAGGACTGTTGCTCAGAGAAACCCTGCGTGAGGGGAGGGAAAAAAATCGGGGGGGGGGGGGCCCACACACATCCATCACAACACTTGAAAATCTTCCCTAGACCTCTGCAAAGCTCTCCCAGGGCTAGGAAAAGCTCGGAAACTAAAGTGCTATGCAAGCAGAGGCAAGTGAGAGCCCTACCCCCAAGTCAAAATAATAATAATAATAATAATAACAAAAACAAAACAAAAAAAATAACTCAAGGGTGAAACAATGGACATGCTGACATAGACGGGAAAAAGCCCATGGGGTATCAAACCTACACCAAGAACTGAGTTACCTATAGGCAACCAAATAAGTTAAGCTGGGAGCAGTAGAGGTTGTCCAGTGCTAAATGGTTACACCTGAAAATGGCCACACAAGTAATATTATACAGACTGAATAGGTCATATATTCAGTGTATATATACATGTATAAAAATGTACATATATACATGCAATAATAAAAAAGAGGTCATGAATTTGATGGACAGCAGGAAGATGTATATGGGAAGGTTTAGAGGGAAAAAAGGAAAGGTAGAAATGTTGTGTTATATTAATCTAAATAAATAAATAAGAGACAGTTTTTTAAAATTTTCTGTGCATTGGTGTTTTGCCATGGGTGTGGGTGTTGGGTCCCCTGAAATTGGAATAACAGACAGTTGTGAGCTGTCATGTGGGTGCTGGGAATTGAGCCTGGGTCCTCTGGAAGAGCAGTCAGTGCTCTTAACCACTGAGCAATCTCTCCAGCCCCCAAGATACATGGTCTTTAAAAAAATAAACCCCAGTGACAGGAGGCAGAGGCAGGAGGATCCTTCAAAGCTAGCCTAATTGAACCCATGAGCACCCAGATCCCGGCAAGAGCCTATCTCAAAAGATAAAGACACAAAAAGATTCCCAAGAAACAACACTCAGGCTTGATCTGACCCCTCCACAACCCCCCCCACACACCCCGCCAAAAAAACCTTTCAAGATCTCCCAATTTCCTAATTTCAAGAAGTTAACCTTAGTTCCAATCTTAGTTCTGACTTACCAGTTCAAATGTTAGTACAACAGCTTTTTAAATTATCAGGATTGTTTGCACACAAGAGCAAACACCACATACTCACCTCCAGGGTGGTACGTACACAAGTTTATTTTACTTAAATATAGTTTTTCTATGCATGTGCTTGAGAGAAAGGAGGTGGGGTCGAATGGGAGAACACATGGCACACATGGAAATGATCACGCACTCTACTAGCACTGTCAGGATTAAAGTGAGCCCTACCACTCTAGGTACACACTTGTTTAGAACATGTTAAGGACCAGGGTTCAAGCCCCAAAACGTAAAAACTAAATAACAAAACCACTCAAACATTTCAACTTATTTTTATTTTGTTCCTTGGGGTCAGGCTCTTACTGGATAAGCCCAGAGTGTTCTGGAACTCACAAAGATTCACCTGCCTCTGCCTCCCTAGCATTGGGATTGAAGGTGTGTACTCCAAGAACCACTAACTTGAAAAGTTAGTATGGTGGCACATTATTGGCTTTGAAATCCTAGCACAGAGAAGCTAAAGCACAAAGATCAAGAATATCAAGGACACCCACAACAAGTAGGCAGTCTCAAAAAGAAAAACAGTAAACAAGAACACAGTAAATGAAAAGTAAGATTAAGCAGACTTGTATAGTAATTATAAATGTTCTTAATAGGATTGAACATAGGGGAAATAATAGTTACCTATAAAAAAAGAGATCACAAAAGTAAAACATATTAAAAGAGTAATAAAAAAAACATGGCCATAAGTCAACTCATTTGAAAGTTAACCTTGCTGGGTGTGGTGGCTAGAAAAGCTGAGACAAGTGACTTCAAGGTCAGCCTGGTCTACAACACAAGTTCCAGGACAGCCAGGGCTACACAGAGAAAGCCCTGTCTTGAAGAAAAAAAAAAAAAGAATAAAGTTAATCTAATTATGAGACAGGCATTGGGACTCTCATCTATAATCCCAGTTCTCTAGACAATGGTCTACATAGTGAGTTCCATGCCAGACAGGACTACACAGTAAAATCCTGTCTCAATCATCACCAGCATCATTGTTACTGTCATCAAGTTATAAATAAAATAGTTACTTAAAAAAAAAACAATTTACAAACATACAAAAATTAATTGACTTAATTTTTGTCACGAGAAATTATTTAAGCATCCTGGAATTAGTCACAGTTTAACAGTTGATTATTTATACTGTGTAAGGATAAAAGCTAAGAGAACTTGTTTGAGAACATGGTTCAAGTGCAATGGCACAGCACTGACTGTACTGCTCCAGCCTCCTCACCTGAGGGGGCAGCGGAGTTGCTGGGGTTCTCACTGGCAGATGCACACAGGTCCTCTTCTCCATCCGTTGAGGAACTAGAAGAAGAGTCGCTGCTGAGGTCGTTCTCACTGGAGCTACTGGAGCTGGGGAGGAGCGCATACTTCCTCTGGGCCAGCACCTCCCGCTTCTTCCTCTGCACCAGCAGCCTCTCCTTCTGTTTCTGTGTCCTTTGAGAGGAGCTGCTCTTCACTAGTCTCTTTCTGCATGGGAGTCTCCTCAGTGCACTACCATGAAAACAAGGTCTTTTCATCAACAAGCCTGACACAGACTCTGCCTCAGTCCGAGGCCACTTTTGGGACCGTGCACTGTGACTTCTGCTTTTAGCACTCAGAACAGGCTGGGAATGTCTCACTGAGACTTCTTTGTCCTCATCTGAAGTCACAGTATCAGAGTCCCCAAAATGGAGACTAGATGAGGGAGAAGACAGACATTCACTGAAGGAAGAGTCATTATCTTCATCACTTGGTGTCTCTAGATGTTGCCTCAGCCCTATAATTCCCTGATTTTCCTTGACACAATTCTGTACATATGAGGGCCCAGCCTGTTGGCTTTTGCGCTTTTTCCTCACAACACCACTTTTTTCTTGCTCTTGCTGGTTGCCATTCATGTCCTTCTCTTGTTTTGAATCATCACATAGGTGAGAGAATTCATTCCCCACTTTGCTGTTAATCATCTCCACTTCTGCAGGGAAGCTCTTGCTGGCCCCTAAGGGCTGTGGGTGCAGAAGGACCCCCTTCAGACTCTCCTGTGTTGTGGGCACATCAGGAGTCCCACTCTTCATAGCCACTTTTAGGGTGTAGAACTCGTTATATTCAGGAGTCCATTGAGACATGGGAAACTTTAAGGAAGGCCTAGGAGACACAAGCCAGACATTGAAAGGACTCAGTATGTATGTGCTACAGAAGTAACTAAAGCTTACAGCAGCCACATGACTAAGCTAAGTCAGCCACTTAACTTTCTCACCGAACACTCTTTTAGTACCTCTGCTTCTAGCCCTACTTTCAGAAACAGTTAACTAGCATATACTATCAACAACTTATAGTAACCAAATGGGCCTTGTAATATTCCCGCTAGCTTTCACAATATAGTACATTTGGTCAAAATCAAACACTTCCTTTCAGCTTATTTCACTAAACTAGAGAAGAGAATTAGATTCAAAAGACTGCCATCTGTGTTGCCAGCAGTGCCGCCACTGGGTACAGTCAAAGGAAACCATTCTGCTGAAGTCACACCAGCGTTCACTACAACATCGACCTCAGTAGCCAAATGAGACAGACGAAGAAAATATAGTAGATACACAATGGAATGCCATTCATCCACCAAAAAAAAAAAAAATGAAATCCTTTCATCTGTAATAACCTGTACAAAATTATAAATCATTACATTGAGTGAAATAAGGAAGGCTGAAAAGCAATTTCTACATGACATGTGATTCACATGTGAGATCGAAAAAACTTAATCTCCTGGAAGCTGAGAGCAGAATGAAAGTTACCAAAGACTAGAGAATGGGGTGAAGAGGTGAGGTAAGGGATGGCTGATCAACAAGTACTAGTCACAGCTATATACAAATAACAACTTTTGGTGATAGTGTGCAATAAGAGATTCCAGATGATCCTATACTGTGTGTTTCAAACAGCTAGAGAAGATTTTAAAAACTATACCCTAAAGAAAGATGTCTGTGGAGGTACATATGCTAACCTGACTGAAATATCACACTGTGAACAAACTTATCAAAACATCACACGGTACTGAAAAATATCTACAATGTTTTAGCATCATTTAAACTAAATTTAGGGAGGCTACACTCCTGTGGATTTATAGGTAGTCAATGGTTCCTGGGGGAAGGGAAGGCATTTTCTTCTCTGGTCTAGACACTGATAAACTGCCCATGCTCCTGTAAATAATCCCCCTTACTCATGTTGCTGTTAGCAACTCATAACGAAACTCTAGTTCACCATCACCAACAAAGATGTAAAAGTAAAGGAGGAACAACTTGGGAAGATGAAAGGGATCAATGGGAGGGGAGCAGGAAAGACACTAGATGTGAATATGATCAAAATACAATATATACAAGGATAAAAATGTCATAACAAAAGCCATCTTGTAGATAATTGATAATGCCAGTAAAAACTTAAAATTTCAATGTAATTTAAATTCTAAGAAAAAATATAAAGTCATCAAATCACAATACTTTGGAGGTTGAAGCAGGAGTATTGCAACAATGAATACAAAGTCAGTCACAACAAAACTCTTTTTCAAGAGACCCCCCCCCACCCCAGCTCAACACCCAGCCTCAACTGAAAAAGAATTCCAAAGACTAGTCACCTGGTGTTGTGAAATACTGCCTTCAAGGCATAACATGGTTATTACCCTCTTCAACTGTCAGCAAATCTGAGTGCCAGAAGGCTATACAAGATTGGGTCATTAACTTTCCCTCATCAAAGGAAAGGGACTCATGAGGCCCACCTCTTCCCAAGAGTTTACAGAAAACCACTGTTAAAACAGAGGTTGAGTCACCCCACCCCAGGATTTGCAGGGTGGAGTGACTTCCCCAAGAGCTGACAGGAAATAGCTGCTGCTGGGAGACAGACTGCTTCTGCAGTGTAGCCACTTGCGCACCTAAGAAACCCAGTTAAACATTGGCTCACCAAGCCACAGCTCAATTGGTTTTTCTATCGCTGGTGCCATTTGGGATGAGTAGACATTCGTTCATTTATCTTCAGAAAAGTTCATGCCTTCCCTTTGATATTAACACGTTAAAATTGTTTTTAATAAATACTTCCTGTACATTTAGATGGTTTTAAAAATTAAATAGTTAATAGAAACACAGCTTCTCTCTCCTATGACTCTATCCTTTTTCTAATGAGAACCTAATTCCAACAGAAAATTGACACAACTAGTACTTTGCAAACCTTGAGCAAGGACTAGAAGAGGGCACCAGATCTCATTACATATGGCTGTGAGCCACCACGTGGTTTCTGGGAATTGAACTCAGGACCTCTGTAAAAACAGACAGGGTGGGGGCTGGGAGATGGCTCAGAAGTTAAGAGCACTGGCTGATCTTCCAAAGGACCCAAGTTCAATTCCCAGCAACTAGATGGTGACTCACAGTTATCATTTAGTGAAATCTGATGTCCTCTTCTGAAATTGCTCTGTAGACCAGGCTGGCCTTGAACTTGCTGCCTACATCTGCTTCCAGTACTGGGATTAAAGGAGTGAGCCACCATTACTGGCAAATTTTATTTTATTTTAGGGTCTCAGGTACTTACCACAGACTGGCCACAATCTCATGATGTATACAAGAAGAACCCTAAACTTCCACCTCCCAAATTCCCAAAGTCACCATACCTGGTTTAAGCATCAGTGCCTGGGGTCAAACCCAGGCTCTGAGGACAAAAGACAAGTACTCTATCAATTGAGCACATCCCAGCCCTAAAGATACAGTTTTACATAGCTATTAGAAAAAGATTTTTAAAGTCATAAGAGATCTGATATTTCTCTATAAAAATTCTAGAAATAACCAGAAAATGAACTAGATACACTAATGCTTTTTTTTTCCCTTTTCCCCCAAGACAGGGTTTCTCTGTAGCTTTGGAGCCTGTCTTGTAGACCAATCTGGCCTTGATCTCACAGAGATCCCCCTCTCTCTGCCTTCCAAGTACTGGGATTAAAGGTGTGCACCACCACCAAATGGCTAATGCTTTTAAATATGGTTTTTATACGAGTGAAAAAAGTTGTGTTCCAAGGATACTGCTTACGTGGAGTGATATTTGAAATTTTTAACCCTCTTCTAAACTCAAGCAGTTACTTTAGATTTTGCCAGTTTGAGTATATTAAATCAATTGCCTGACAGACCCACTCTTACTATCCAATGCTGTTACTACCACTGATGACACTTGGAGACAGCTGCTCACTTAGCTGTCCCCAGACATCAAAACTGTAATTAGCAAGTAACATATTTCCCCAAAGATATCACTGTTATTCCTTTTGATCTCTGGTCCCTTTAAGAGACAAGCCACGCCCACTCCCAGCGACTTCTGACTTCTCATCACCATCTTGGTCTCTTTCTGTTTCCTCTCCTGGCGTATGTACACATGTTTTCTGTCTTTTCTCTCTCTCTTTCTCTTTGTCTTTCTCTCTCTCTCCTTTAAGTAATAAATGTTCAGCTTTATGTCTATTTACTATGTCTTGTAAGCCTTTTATCCCTGCCTGCTCACCCACCCACTTGGATGACTCTCCCGGCTGCATGGCAGTACCAGCCCGTCTGGGATGAGCCACTGCTCTGCCACTCGCCGTGGGGAATCTGCACCACTCTGGCAGCATTTTTTAAGGAATATTATTTGGTGCCATGAATTTGACAGATTCGCCTGCCCCAGGGTCGGGGTCCCAGCTTCAGGCTCTGTCTGGGACTCTGAGCTCCAACTTCCAGGTCAGAATGGGGGGGGGCACCAAGGACCTTCTCGAATCGACCCACGTGTTTCATCTGCCTGGCCATGGCTCCTACAAACAACACCAGCTTCTAATCGTGAGTTTCCCCATTTCGGCCAGTTTAACCACCCCTTTTGACCCGGGAATTGACGGCTGAGCTCACGTTTCTGGGGTCGGGGGAACTTCCCCCAACTGCAGGCCTTCAGGGCCTGGGGTTCCTTTGCTAGCATTCAATTACAGCTTGCATCCTCTGTTAAGCCCGTGCCTGGGACGGCTTGGGCTAGCCAGCCCCCAGCACACCCACGGCTAGAGGCCTGGGGTCTCCAGTTCTTACTCTTTCTCTTTTTTTCATTTCTTTCCTTCCTTCTCGTCATTCTCACGGCTGCTATGGTGCAGCCCACAGCCGCTGCTTTCTGAGCAATTTGCCCAGAACCAGCTAGGTCCATAGCATCCCACATGTGGACTGAAGACGCCCAGCCACACTGTCCTGGATGTTCGATCCATCTGCATCTCGCCTAAACGGGGAGCCGTTCTCGCTGAAGGCTTGAGGTGCCACGGTTTTTGTGGGTTTTTCATGGCCTTGACCAGGAAAAGCAAACCGTCCCAGCCTAAATATGCCTTACTTAAAATCCTCCACATTTATCAGTCTTTCTTCAAAAATGGCCTCAATATAACTTAGGGGTAAATTGTCTGTTTGCGCGGGTCTTCACAATTCAGGCTCTGGATAGCAACTGCCCATGGCTGGCGGCCCCCAGCTTTTCCATTCCAACCGTGGCATGGTGCAGTTTTTACGGTTCCAGCCTTTTGCTCCCCTCTGCAGCTTGTGGTATGGCATGGCAGCTCAGCAACAGGGCAGATCACGCCTTTAGGTCCCTCTCCTTAAGCTTAAAATCGTTACAGCTCAAAAATTGTAACTTTTTTCCCACAACAAGTGGCCGCCACCATATTCACTGGGGTCAGGTGATTTTATCGCTATCTTGACTGAGAGCCAGGTCACGTGACCAAGCTCTCCCATTCTTATGTATGCCCTGCCTTTCCCCCCTCCTCCCTGGTGTTCACTGAAATCCTCTCATTAACTCTGATTACAGGTGTTTTGCATAGTGACGTGCTTTTGATAGGGCCCATCAAAAGCACGTACGTTGCCCAATTCCTGTTCATTCTTTCTATATATAATAATTATTCATTACATCTCATTTCAGACTACAAAAATCATAAGTCTCATATTTTAAACTGGTATGTACTTTTAACTCTCTTACAAAAATGCCTTATATTTAAAATTAAGCTATTCTCTACCATTGTCAGTTCTGCCATTAATCTTATATTACAAACAGTTTTTTCTTTCTGTCTGTCTTTTTACGAGTGTGGATCTTACCTGTTAAGAGCCAGTACAGTCAAGCTCAGACCCAACCTTCCAGACAGATTCTATACTGCAGCTATACCTAATAAACAGCCTCAACTGCTGTTTATTAGGAATAACAGATCTGGGGAATGTGATATTTAAGTATTTAATTATTTAAAAAACTTTTCATAACAAAAAGAGACAGGTTGGCTCCTAGCAGCAGCACTCTGTTTCCTCCAAGAAGACAGAAGACAAATGGGCGCAGAACAACATCCATTTGCAGTTGCAGAGCAGCGTCCTTCTGCAGTTCGCTTCGCCTGCCAAACGCTGACCATTAGACAAAACTGCCTTTCACCTAAAGTGAAGACCTCCAGACGTGGACAGAATCGCTGGAATCAACAGTCTAGCTGCTCTGGTCAAGGTAGGCCTGTCTTCCTACAGATTTCTTAGCCCACAGGGTCTTCTGGAGCCTGACAGGCCCTGCGCTAAACAGCAAAGGTCAAAAGCAACCTTCAGCGACCATGGAGGACCCAAAAGAGTAGCTCTGGGTGCCAACCAAGTAAGTTCTCCGTCATTTTTCAATCAGTAACTCAAGTAAAATCTTATCCTTCTCAAAGATCTCTGACAGTTTGATAGCTAAGAGGTTTTGCCAGGTTACCTCAACAAATAAAAAATACTTTTCATTGTACAAAAATATGTCACAGTCATTATACAATGTATATGTCTAAAACTTCTGTTTTTAAAAACCCAAGGAGTTCTTGTGAGTTCCAGGGAGCCAAATTTAAAAACCCACCGTAAACAGGTCAGATACATCTCCCTCAATTCCCTGGCCCTAAAATTTTTTTTTCTTAATTTAACTTTGCTCTTTGTTCTGCCAATACCTTAAACAGGATAAGAGACACCAGATATTTCCATGCCACAGACACCTGTCGGGAGCAGAGACCAACTATGCCAGGATGTGACCAGCGCCCAGCCTTCTCTCGCGCTCCCCCCCCAGCCAAAGACGATGCCCACAAATCAGTCGGAAGCAGTCTTGAGAATTCGCTGCCCCAATTCCTTCAAACGGTGGTGTCTAATCTCCTGCTTTTTATTATAAAAAGAATCCGGGAATATTATTCCTTTTGGACTCTGGTCCCTTTAAGAGACAAGCCACGCCCACTCCCAGCGACTTCTGACCTCTCATCACCATCTTGGTCTCTTTCTGTTTCCTCTCCTGGCGTATGCACACGTGTTTTCTGTCTTCTCTCTCTCTCTTTCTCTGTCTTTGTCTTTCTGTCTCTCTCTCCTTTAAGTAATAAATATTCAGCTTCATGTTCAGTTTCATGTCTATTTACTATGTCTTGTAAGCCTTCTATCCGCCCCCTGCTCACCCGCCCGCTTGGATGACTCTCCCCACCGCATGGCAGCACCAGCCGGTCCAGGATGAGCCACCGCTCTGCCGCTTGCCGCGGGGAATCTGCATGGCTCTGGCAGCATTTTTTAAGGAATATTAATCACTCTGAACTTTTTCTTACCTTTTCTTTCAAGACAGGGTAGTCCTAGGTGTCCTGGAACTCTGTAGACCAGGCTGACTTTCAATTGACAGAGATTCACCAGACTCTACCTCACACGTTCTGGGATTAAAGGTGTGTACCACCACCACGCAGCCACTCTGAACTCTTAACTGTATTTTCGAAGTGCTTATAATTAAGTTCTCAAGAGATTTCTGATAGAAATCTAAGAATCAAATAATACATTCAATTATGAAAAGGGTGGTAAGAACCTTCACAAATATATTAGTGAATAACTAACTTGCAACCTCTTAACAGCAAAAAAGAAATGACACCCAGAAAAACTGCTATTAAATGCAGCCTGTTTTGTTTTATGACAGGGTCTCACCATGTAGCCAAGACTGGCCCTGGACTTGCTATCTTCCTGCCTGGGGTTACAAGCATGAGTAAGCATACCCAGCTGTGTCAAATTATTTTTCTTTTGGTTAGGACAAAAAAGAGAACATAAAAACAGATCAAGGATCTTGGCAACCTCCCCTAAAAAGACAATATAGTCAAATTATAATAAAAGATTCATTTGGATCCTTTACCATGGGAATCAAGATGAAATATATAAATCAATACAGACAACTCAGAATTGCTCTAAGAGGGCAATTTTCTTTTCATTCAATCATTCATGAGTATTTGGACTGCATCTTCATCAGTGTTCAGTGTTCTACTGCTATGAAGGAATGCCATGACCACACACAGCAACTCTTATAAAGAAAAGAATTTACTTGGGGCTGGCTTACAGCTGAGAGGTTGAATCTATTATCGCCATATGGGCGGTCAGGCAAACATGGTGCTGGAGAGGTAGTGGGAAATTCTACACCTCTATCAGCAGGTAGTAGCAAGTTAGACTCTGGGCTGGCAGAAGCACTTGAAACTACAAAGCCCACCCCTAGTCACACACTTCCTCCAACAAGGCCACACCTACTCCAACAAGGCTACAATTACTAATCCCTGTCAAGTATTGCCACTCCCTCATGACCAAGCATTCAAATCTGGAAGTCTATGGAAGTCATTCTTGTTGTTTGTTTGTTTTTCGAGACAGGGTTTCTCTGTAGTTTTGAAGTCTGCCTGGAACTAGCTCTTATAGACCAAACTGGCTTCGAACTCAGAGATCCACCTGCCTCTGCCTCCTGATTGTTGGGATTAAAGGTGTGTGCCACCACCACCCAGTTGGAAGCCATTCTTATTCAAACCACTACAGCTTTTATGTATATGTGTGTACTGCGTGTCTGCCAGATGCCTATAGAGGTCAAACAAAGGTATCAGATCTCTTGGAACTAGAGTTATGGATGGTTGTGATACACCATGTGAGTACTGGGAACTAAACCTGGGTTCTTTGCAAGAACAAGTGCTCTTAACCACTAAAGCATTCTCTCCAGACCCTAGAGTGTTGTTTTCATAGCACAGAAACAGGATAGCATCAAAAACCCTCGAGGATAAAATTACACAACACAAAAACTGCATTTGTTGAAATCACCAATTCTAGAAAGCCTACTCTGGTGAGGTTGAAGGACTCAGGAGACACTGATGAGCATAATCACATTCCAAGAGACAAAATCCACAAGAACTGCACAGCACTGACCCACAAAGAAATAACAGATGGAGAAGAGACAAATACAGGCCACAAAACACAAAGATAATACTGAAAGAACTGTAAGTCAGAGCAGAGATGGAGACTGGCAAGGCTTAAAAAAGGAGCCCTATTACTTTAACGGTAAGGTAACTAAAAAGAGGATAAATGCAGGTAGCCAACAGGAAGAGACAAGACATTCTAAACCTTTAAAATTTTAAACTGAAATTTACATCATTACAGTTACATTTTCAATGGCTAATACAGTAGCACAATATGAAATAGGGATCAAAAGAGGCCTAAACTGGAGACAGAATAACAATTAAAAGGTCACTACTTCTACAAAGCAAGGACACACAAAGACAGACATGGAGACACTAGATACTAAAACACAATAATCACAAAATCCAGGATCACCACAGTTCTGTTGACCTTTGCACAGGAAGCACCTCCTGGTCATCCTAGCTGAATTAGTATGAACTACCTGGATCCCTGCTACAGAGGCCTAGTTTTCTCATTTTAATAGTCCTTTTCTATACACTCACATGAACTCCAAGAATATAAATCAGATCACATTCCATTCCTGTTGTGGGAGTAACTTCCGCTGCCTCAACCAATAGTCGCTGAAATACGAGCCCACAGTGTAGCGGGGAGCGACTTCCGCTCCGTCAGCCAATAGCTGCTGAAATACCAGCCCACTGGGGCGTGGTATATTTCTCTTTTAAAAAGAGAAGCAGATCCGGATCAGGCCCTCTTAGTTCCGGCTCTTGGTTCCGGTGCTTGCTCCTGGCTCCTGCTCCCGGCTCCTGCGACTAGGCTCCCTTCCTGACGGTTTATGGTGTATGTAAGTTTTACCCCCCAAAATAAATAACCCCTTAAAACATAACTGGTGTGGGATTGATTCGCCGATACATTCCCGCACTGGAAATCTTTCAGTGGTTTATAAATGTTCCAAAAAAAATAAAGCCACAACTCTTTCTTGAGTGACCTCACGCTCCATCTTCAGCTCCTACTAGCTTCCCTTTCAGTCACCACCACAGTCAAACTGTTCTTCTTTCTTACCTATGACAAAGCTTTCAATCTTGGTTGGGCCTTTGTTGATCTGCCCTTCACTGAGCTCTTGTGTTAAATGTCCTATCTTTGGAGTGTTTTTTTCTGGGTGTTCTATGGCAACAAGGAGTGTGTGCCTTGCAGGCTTCCAAACAAGAAAAAAGTAAATGATTAAAAGCTGCAAATCTAAAATCTAACCTTGTGTCTGCCCAGGCCATATAGGTCACCCACTGAGGTTAGATTTCCCTCTGTATGCTATAAATGTTTTATTGCCATTGATTAATGAAGAAGCTGGTTTTGGTCGATAACTTAACAGAATATAGCCAGACTAAAAGAGATATAGCAAAAGAGTAGGCGGAGTCAAAGAGAAAGCATGTAGCTACCACTAGAGATGGAGACAAACACTCTGGAACCTTGCTGGTAAGCCACAATCACATGACCATGCACAGATTAATAGAAATGAGTTAATTTAAGATATAAGAGTTAGCCAAAAATATGTTTAAGCTATTAGACAAACAGTAGTGCAAATAATATAGTTTCTATGTGGTCATTTCAGGTCTGAGCTGCCAGGAACAAACGAGCAGCCTCCAGATACAAATAGGTGCCCCAATGTGGTCAACTAAATCCATTTAAAAACTTGAGAGAGCTTGAAAAGGAATTCTAGACACACACATACAAACAAACAAACAAACAAAAAAACCCAGAGCTTAACACAGCTTCTTGTTCTGTTTGCTAGCAGAAAGCAGAGATGTGGCTCCTTTAAGGGCTTTCTGACTCAGCTTTAACAGTAAAAACTACTACACAGCCTTTAAAAAAAAAAAAGCGGCTTCCTGGTTTGCCAGCACAAAAGGCTGACTCTTTCGGGAGGTCTGGCTACAGAGCATTTACGTGGAGTTTCTGAGCAGAGTGCTACAACTTGCATGATGGCAACACAGGCCCTCTGTGACCCGACCCTGGATCTGGGGCAGAGGGAATGGCTCTGAGAGACAGTGAACATGCCCCCGCTATGATGGACTGGGTGAAGCCAACAGGAAGTGTGCAGAGTTGGTCCTAGCCATGCCCGCTTAGCATTTAAAAAAAAAAGGTTCTTATGGTCAGAAAATAATTAGATACACAATAAAGACAAATCAGATAAAAGAATATAGACAGCTAAAAAAGAAATGGCTTTTTTTTAAAAAAAAAAAAAGGTAAAGTCTTTAAAGAGACAGAATACAACAGTCATAGAGTAAAAGGAAAAGAAATAAGTCACATAAAGATGGAATATATAGAGTCTGGATTATGTACATTATTGTGTTTTTTTAAAATTTTTTGTCTGTGTATAGAGAGACATTTCATTGTATCTGCTGTTTAACCAAAATATATATTTTAAAGGTATTTTGATTTCACAATTTGGGTCCAAGAATTTGTTGCTTTGGAAAAGAGGTTCTGTTTCTGTTTCCAGTGGACTCCTTCCAGACTTTCAGGGAGACCCCCTGAAAGGTCTCCATGAACCTCCAAAATTACTTCGCCCAACAAAAAGCAGGCAGTAGGAGAGAACTACGCCTAAATTCCCAAATATTGTTTATAAACGTTTATTTACATTTAAAGAGGGATAACCTAAAGAGATAAATACTTTGCATTGGTATGGATCTTGGTCTACTGATACAAATTTTAGGTCAACTTTGTTATATGCATATTTTTGCTTTTAGTATTGTGTTTGTGCCGCTCATTTAAAAAAGTAATGTATAATTAAGAAATACAGGTTAATAGTCATTTATAATAGTCAAGTTTGCAGTCATGGTAGTTAGGTTTTCTAGATATACAGTGATATATTCAGTTAGATAGATAACCTTCAAACCTTTCAAACATCTATGGATTATGGCATTTAAATTGTTTTAAGATGTTAGGACTTTTTATGACAATGAGACACATCTACTCTTGGCAGCATCAACCTACTTCAAGAGGATGATGGACATCAAAGAATTCTTCTCATGGACTTTATTAGCCATTTGGTCAAGAAACTGCTTTTGCCTGGATTGTTTGATGTTGTGTGAACTAGATATGTAGGACCCACAGAGAAAGGACTGCTGAACTTGCCTAAAGGCGAGACTGTCCTTTGGGGTTCCTGTTTCATGAAAAAGTCTGACAGACATTGTGCAGAATATAGAAGAAAGCAACTAATAGACTTTGCCATTACAAGGCAGAACAAATCTTCAAATTTCCTGCTTCATGGAAAGGTCTGACAGAAACTATGGACTTGTAGGCTGAAGATGGATGATCAAACATTACAGAATAACTTTGGGTGACTGTCCAGGCAGTGACATGTCTCTGTCAATTCTAGAGTTCTGAAAGTTGCTTACATTGTACTTCTTGTTTACTTAGGTAATATTGTATACTTCTGGAATCTTTGGAGTTGAAGAATGGTTATAATTATACTTTTCCTTAGTTATGATAAAAGATAAAGTAGATATAAATAAATTTTAAAAAGATGCTTTTGGCCAATGGCTTAACAGAATATAGCCAGGTGGGAAGAGATATAGCGAAAGAGTAGGCAGAGTCAAAGAGAAGCCATGTAG